ATATCTAGGGCAGTGGTTCCCAACCATGTGCCACTGAGGCCCAAGACTACGCAGGATTTCATTCCTGTTGAGCTCTACAGCAGCTGATCACTTAATGAAAAAATCAGCTGCTCTTTAGTTTGGAATGATTGGATGAGGATGATGATGATGGTGGTATGTGAACAGATCGGCAGCCTGTGAAAAACAACTGATTATTGACTTGTGGGATTAATGATAGATTTAATCCAAGTATGTTTTGTGTACAGTTAGGAACAAGGACAACAAAGCTGGACAAATAAAGGCAGAGAATAGACGGGAATATTATGTTCAAGTATGTGGGGAAAAAAAGCTGTATATAAGAATAAAATATATTATATAAATATATATATAAAAAGCACCAATGACCAACAATAAAATTAAAATAAAGCGTCTTTTTACATCAATGTTTTTATGCATCAAAACTGCATTATAATAATGTGAGCAGTGGCGGTTGGGGATTGGAGGATTGGTGTAAGAGGGTTATTTGTAAGCAAAAATGTCAAACATTTGCTGGTTTCAGCTTCTTAAATGTGAAGATTTGCTGCTTTTGTTTATCTTATATGATAGTACATTTTTTTTAAATAACCCCACGGAAATTACAAGGGGCTATTGTTCAAAAACTAATTTTCTACAGACTAAAAGCTAAGAATTAAACTAATCGATTCAACCGGGAATGAACGGCAGATTAATTGATAATAAACATTCTACTTCGTTTTGTGACTAAATACCTGCAGAACTTCTGACAATCTGCCTCGGCTAATTTTTAATTATCAATCCTTAGCACGCTAAGACACTACACTAAGATGGTGACCATTAGCATTGTGAGCACGTTAGCATGCTGACATTAACATAAAGTACAGTCTCACAAAGACCGAACACTCTTTACTCTTTATTTGAATCTAGATCCTGTTGGTGGTGCCACATCATTTAGCTCTGGACCGTCTTATCGGCTCACTTCTCGATCATTAAATGTTGATTGAGGATTATTCATATCTCTCATTAAATATTCATAACATGAAGGATTAGCAAATCTGTGTCAACGACATTCCTGCTCTCAGACTCGCTGTAGGGAGCGACGTAAAGAATCAGCGCTCTCATACGGAGCCATTAATTGCGTTTTTTAAATTTATTTTGACCTCAAGCTGAGCCAGATAGGCATCTTCAGTTTTAGCCTGAGCTCCTAGATGTAAACGAGTGTTGTTGCCACAACACCGCCACAGCTTCCACCGCGTGAATGCAACTTTTAAACGAGTAGTGGGAGGAGAGCGGCTGGCGCTTTTTTCTGCCTCAGTATGTCCATTTATCTGTCCAGCTCCCCCAACATTAGTCCTCCGCTCGCTCTAATGCAAACACAAAATAGCTGTTGGTTGCCATGTCAGCACCCCCCCCCGCAGGGATTATGTGTTGTGTTGGGGACTAAATTAGCCGGCTCCCGAATTCTAATATCTAATATGAGGAGGGGATGCTAGCTGAGGTCACAACCTCCTGAAAGCTGAAGACTCTCTTTCTTTCTCACCTCACAGCAAAGCCTGTTGAGACAGCAGGAGCGCGTTGAGGAGCGAGTGCAGGAGATCGAAGAGCAGCTCTGCAAACTGGACTCTGACAAGTGTGTGGTGGAGGTGAGTTTTTTTGTTTTTACACCCTGAATCTTTTGCCGTCAACGCAACTACACACATTTTCCGACACAGCGTTGCATGATACAAAAGGGACATTTGAGTGGATTGATGTGTGTGTGTGTGTGTGTTTCTCTACAGGACAGGGTGTGTGAGCTGAAAGAGGAGGTGCGTCTGCAGTACCAGCGGATGCACCAGCTCCTGGAGGAGGATCTAGGTCGGACTCTGGAGGCTCTGGACCGGGCTCAGGCTCGGTTCTGCCAGGAGAACGCGGCCCAGGTTTTGGCTCTGGGCGAGCAGCGCCACGAGGCCCAGAAGCTGCTGAGCTCCATCCACACGGCCTTCAGTAAGGCGGAGGAGCTGAGCTTCATGAAAAACACCAAGCCGGTTAAAATCCTCACAGACAGGTGAGAGCAAAGTTTTCCTTTTTTGCCTGTGGGTCCAAGCTGACATCTTATCTTGAATTTTGCGTGACTCTTGGCATTTTTTGCAGGTCTCAGGCATGTGTGGGCAGCAGTATACCTCCTTACAAAGTGGGGAATCTAAACTCTAAACTATTCCTATCTGAAATCTCAAAAAGAGAGAAGAGCTTGAAGAGAACGCTGGAAGGTAGGATCTCAAAAAAACGTTTTAATGGGTTTTAATCCAGGACATGAATGTGTTTTTATTTAAATGACCACTTTCCTCCTATTATTTCACACCTCTTCTCTTCTCCTCTCTCAGTTCCCCTCACCCCTCCTTCGACCTTCCTGCAGTCCGTTCCTGCGTATCCCAGCGGTCAGACCTCCGGAGCAGAGAAACGGAAACATTCCACTGCCTTCCCAGAGGGAAACGGGAGCGTCGGAAAGACCGCCGCTCCGGGTTTCAAGGACTCCTCTTCCTCATCTTCTTCCTCATCGTTAGCCAAACAGCCCTACCTGGGCTCCGGCTCCGCCTCTGGAGAAGGTCAGTCTACCAATCAGCAGCCTCTCGGGCCCTGCGGCCCGCCTCACATCAGCGAGGGCGGCGGGACGGGAAGCGGAAGCGGCTCTCTGACCAACCACCATTCAGGCTCCGTGTTCGCCTCCTCGCACTTTCCTCCTGGAGGCAGCGGCTCCTCGCACTCCTCCCAGCAGGCCGTGCTGCCTCAATATGGCAGCCGTAAGATCCTGGTGTGTACGATGGATAACTGCTACTGCTCCGGAGTGCCCTCGGTGTCGGGCCACCGCGGCCATCCCCCGTACCCACGCTCTGGCTCTTTCCCCTGGGTCAGCACCCAAGACTACCCCCCTCCTCCCGGCCTGGCCTCTGGAGGTCCGTCCATGCAGGGCCTGGCAGTGAGGGACTGGATAGACGCCTCGCAGACACACAGACATGCAGATTTTTACGGGCTGTATGGGCAGCCCTCTACAAAGCACTATGTCACCAGTTAACAAAGTAGACACACACACACACTTGGATATAGAGACAGGCACCAAAATAGCACACCGTTACCGTCTTATTAACTGGAAAAAAAACAGTTATACTATACACACAGTAAAATATTAAGATTTGTACACACACACACACACACACACTGATCTAGAACATGTACACACATTCGGGGGCAGGGTTGATCTCTTATGTGTTTTTATTTTCTTCTTTTCTTTATTTTCAGTCGGTGTTTCATGTAGTGTATTATACGTAAAAATGCTAAACCAACACGTTCAATCTGGCACAACCTAGCTCAGCGTTTTACACATAAACAAGAGAAGCCTAAGAGGAGAGATTGTGACATGCATCTTTTTTTTTTTTTTTTTTTTTTTTTATAGAGCAGAAGATGGATAGAAAATTAACTTTTATTAGAAAACGCCTCTTCGTGGCTGCTCACTGACGCTAAAGGGAAAAGAGATGAAAACCGTGCAGTGTTGAGCTTTCCAGTTTAGCGCCTCATGTTTCTCTCATATAATCACCCCTCTAGTTGTACTGAGATCAATTGCCTTATGTTATTATTAGCGTCATATTTTTTGTTCTGCCCAGCTGTCATTGTTTAGTAGATCCTCTTTAAAGAGGGACTGCGCGGTCCCTTCGTGTCTCTCGTTTCCGTCATCATGGCACCTCTTCCCTTCTTTGCTGAGTTCAGGGATGGACCGTACGGCTTGAACACAAAATGCTCTTCCATGGAACTCCCACAATGCACTTGTGGACGCCTTGTTATGCCTGGACTACAGATGCTGCCCCGCAGAGGGACACTGGAGCTGCATCTGAAGGGCCGGTTGACCCTGGCCCAAAGAGTTTTGAGGATTTGGCCCTTATTCCTAGCACTCCCTTCCTGCTATCAGGCTTCCCACAGGACAGAAAATCTTCTTCTGACAAAGACTGTTTCCATTTAGTAATTACTCTGACTTTATGTTATTTGGTACATCTGTAGGTTTCATGCTTGTCTAGAGAGACTCTTTGATTTTAGAGGAAGAGGCAAGACTGGACAGACCAAACCAATCAAGCATCTGGAGAATCTGATGATGCTGTAATTGTACTTCCTGCAGGGCAAAGATGTCACTTCCTCTCAATAAGCACACGAGCTCTTGGCTTCCTGTTTGCAGCTGAAATCATGCAAGGAAGAGTTTTTTTTAAAAGCACTCAAAAGAAGAACAATAGGGGGGTGGGGGTAAAATGTATGCAGTTTTAAAAATGAGTGTATGGAAGAAAAGAAGGGTGGGAGGAATTTTTTTTCATCTACTTTTTCTAAAAGAACAAGACTGGACTGCGAGATGTAAGCAATTGTCGTCATCCTAAGAAGGAGCCGTTACAACCGTCAACTTAAAGAGAAAAAACAACAACATAAAAAGTATCTTTTTTTGTAAATATTTTGTGAAATGGAAAAATTACAGACGTGATTTGGAGAAGGGTTCCAAATAAACAAACACATTTAAACTGGTCTCTGTTGTCACTCTGTACGTGCATTTTCTTTCATCTTCATTTAAAGAACAAGGGTGGTATTCAACATTTTTGTTATTGTGCATTTTGCCCCGAGCTCCAGCAGCAGCTTCAACTTTTGACAATAGAAACACTGCTGCTCTGTGTTTGGGAGAGGATAAGTTGTTATCCTCGTGTTCCTCCTTCTTATTTTGAGTAATAATAATAAAAATTGCTTTATTTATATAGCACCTTTTTTAAAACGGTTTACAAAGTCCTTAGACAGAAAAAGCAGCAAACGCAATAAAAAAACAGAAAGCGGTTAACAGTGAGAAACTAAGGTAAGAGATAAACCTTGATAAAACAATACAATAGATAAAACCAATCGATACGATGAAAATAAATTAAGTAAAAATATCAATAGAATAAAGCAGTAATGTGACATCACATAAAAGCCAGTCTGTAAAAAATGGGGTTTAAGAAGTGATTACTAGTCTTTTAAACTTCCACACTATAGACTCACAAAGTGTTTACAGTCTGATGCTCTGATAAATATATTTTTAAATACCCGGCATCAAATTATGAAACCACACTCTTTTTTTTTTTTGCGGCAGAGTTTGGGTCATTTTTGTGGTATGAAAATGTTGTGACCATACGTTAATGCTGCATTCATGTCATGTTAGTGTCGTACAGCGTTCATGTCTTCATCAAATTTGAAATTACAACTCAAAAACTTTTGACTTTTTTAACATGTTATATTTGACTTAGAAACCAAACAAACGTGTCAACCAAAGTCTATTGTTTTGAAGGTGCTTTGCGACATTTTGGGCGGTGGCGGCTCGCAGCTAACAGTGCTAACCGTGCTAACAGTGCTAACCGTGCTAACAGTGCACTCGGCAACAAAGCACAGAGAGCTACTTCCTCCTCTGCTCAGGTAAACATCACTCCACTTTATCTTTACACAGCAAACAGTCGTCTGCAGCTGGATATTAATAAATGTTGAGTAGAGAACCTTTATTGTAAGTATGTTTGATTTAAGTTTGTATAGTGTTATCATTACATGGATTAATACAGCATCACACAGCTGTTGTTGGACATGAATGAAGCTCTATGATACACAGGATTAAGTTATTAAGAAAATACTTGTTGAAAAACGGAAATACCACCAGCCTTATTTAATATTTCTCACATTTGTGCAAACACAGAATCTAAGCGTTTGTTTCGTGCTCACTGTTGGTTTCATACAGTCATCTCTACACAGTCATCTGCTTACTCTTCATGACTTTTAAAAAATAAAAACGACATCCGCCCACTTGTACTCAAACAACCGTCCATCCTCTGTTGACCTTTCTTAAACATGCAAATAATCTGCCTGTCTGCAGTATTAGTGTATTTATTTAACTTTAAAAGCACACATCCACAGGAGGACACTTAAACAAACTTTAAACATCTCTTGTGTGTGCCCGGTACAGACAGCTCATGGGTATGTGTGGGTGGAGGCCTGCAGAGAAACAACAGGATGAACAGAACAAGTTTTGAGATGAGTAGTTGTTTGTTAAACTCAGCCTGATTAAGATGTTGCATTAATGCTCCCGCCTACCCTTCCGCCTCACTCCCCCTCAGACAGCAAAGACGGTCCACTTGTGTTTATGTGTTTTGAGTGAACAGGAAATGAAAATACAAAAATATATATATTTTAGTAGAGAAAAGTTAATGTGGAAAGACTTTAGGGAATTACTCTTAATCACTTTCTTACCGAGAGTTAAATGTGAAGATTGATACGAGTCTCATGTCTGTCCGGTAAATATGAAGCTACAGCTAGCAGCTGGTTAGCTTAGCTTAGCATAGAGACTGGTAACAAGGGGAAACAGCTAGCCTGGCTGTGTCTAAAGGTAACTAAATACACCCACGTGTCGTTTTTGCAATCACATTGTTTTTGTACAGGTTAAACAAACAAGATATGACATTTGTAACCTTTGGACAGAGCCAGGCTAACTGTTTCTACCTGCTTTCAATCTTTATGCTAAGCTAAGCTAACTGTCTGTAGCTTTGTACTTAATGGACAGACATGAGTGACTCTCAGCAAAAAGATGAAGCGAATATTTCCCAAAATCAAAACTATTCTTTAATTTTCTTATTTTTTTGTTATGTACCATTTTCAAGGGCAGTCGTTACCTTTTAATCTCAAACTTAAAGTTAACATGCGAGGTGCAAAGTCCTTAAATTGCTCCAAAAATGGAAATCTACTAACTCCATGTGCTGAAGAAGATCATGACTACAACTGAAAGCTCTAGAAACCGCAGCTCAAGGAACCTCATGATGAAGTCGAGAATGAACTTTCAAGACTTGAACATTCATTCAAAAATGTCACTTTGAGTTTCAGAACGCCATTTCTTTCCTTCTAACGCCAATCAGCGGTTAATGTACAAGTAAAAACAAACATTTTAATCATATTGCTTCTTCTCGCTCCACCCTCGTCTTCCTCCCACCTCTTTCCCATCTTGAGGCCTGATGTTTTTTGTTTCTCACGTCAGCAAACCTCAGCAGAGACACAGGCAGCCAAGAGCTGCGGGGTCGGAGGTGCAGCATAAATTACAGCGCTGCTTTTCTATCTGTCACTCTGACACACACACACACACACACACAAACACTCCCTCTCTTTTTCTCTCTCTTTCTCTTGACACATATTTTCTCACACTTGCACACACAGCTGTTGCACAGCTGTCTGATCCATGAGGAGAAAGGCAGTAATCCGGTCGCCTACGTCTTCAATATACTGTATATCACTGACACACACACACACACACTGTCTGACTATCTTAAATTACCCACAAACACACTTTTATACACTTATAAAATGACCACAGACCCTTTTCTTCTCTCATTTGGAGGTTGTAATGAAACAGAAGTTGTTAAAACACCAAATCTGCCTTTTTACATGTTTTTTTGTGTCGCCTAGCCACTGGTTAGCTTTAGCTTAGCATAAAGACTGAAAACAAGGAGTCTCTGTCAAAAGCAAAACAAAGCATACCAGCATTAAACTCATTAATTTACATGTTTTATCTTTTTTAGTTGTCTGTTTATTAGTATTTCTGTAAATAAACAGTGAACACTACATACAAATTATATAAAATATTACAAAAACAGAACATAATGTAGAAAGGCTACAGGGACACACATAAGGTGCAACAGGACACAGCAAATATACAGTTTTTTAACTCCGGTGTACTTTGTCCAGAACAACAAGCTGTAACATGTTCAGCAGTGAGTTTTAGAGTTGCTGGTTGGCAGCCAGGCAGGCTAGCTGCTTCCATCTGTTTCCAGTCTTTATGCTAAGCTAAGCTATGTAGCTTCATATTTAATGTACAGACATGTCAGTGGGATCAGTCTTCTCATTGAATTCTACGTCAGAAAGCGAACAAGCATTTTCCCCAACAGTCTACCTGTTCCTTTAAATGTGTCTATGTTTCCACATGAAACTCCCAAGGTGCATCGCTCTGTGTTTCCCATAGTGCCTTGTGAGAATTTAATGTTACAAAGAGTAAAGAGGAAAAAATGAGGGAGAAGAGAGTCTTTGTGAGAAGAGAGGAAGCCTCGACAATGAGGATCTTTGTGAGCGAAGAAGAAGAGGTCGTTTGCAGGTCTCTGAGGTCCAGGGAATCAGTCACATACAATGCTACACAAAATAAAACACATGGCATACTGTTCCCATACCGTAGGAACACACTGTAGTGTATTTTTCAGGACTTCTGGGATCTTCCTGTTAGTTTTTCTTGCAGGACTTGTAATTTATTGTTCTTATTAGTGGCCTCTGTAGGTCTAATTAGCCACATAACTAACAACACCTGTGTGGGTGTGCAGGGCCTTTAATCTATAATAATATGTCATATTAGATGATCATGTGTTTTCTATTTAAAATCAAAGTAACCATAACAGTTAAATAAAATAAAAAATACCTTTTCCCTCTGAAATGTAGTAGAATAGAAGTATAAAGTACATGAACTCGAGTAGGACCTAACAATGTTACCTTAAGGTGGCCATCTCTCCCCTCTAACATGCAGGCATCACAGGTATGCATGTGGCCTCATGTCTGCGTGGTTTGTGCAATGCAGATTGACAGTCAGTTATTTGTGGAGGAGAGGATCCAGCTTCTCCTGCTCAGCCTCAGGCCATGAGGTATTCACACAACCAGGTGGATACAGCACCACCTGCCTTTAGCAACAAAATACATTTTATTTTATATTTAGTGAACTGCAGCCCTTTCTCTGTTACAACCGGGGGAAAAGTAGACAGTTTATTTATTTTGAATAATCTCAGGTGCCCGAAGAAAGCTTGAAGGTTAATGATTAATCTCAGAAATAATCTAATTTGGGGTTCATTTAGTGTACATCTTGAAAAAACGGCAAAGATTAGAGAAAAGTCACAATTTTTTTTGTCTCATTTACTACCCTGAAATTCACCGTACAGCCTCTTTGATTACACACTGGTTTATGTTATCTACATGTGGAACTAATAGGCTACCTGCTCTGAGACAAAGTGGTCTTCACTTCAGTCAGCATCACTGAGAATCAGAGTGTATTTGAAATAGTTTTTGAGACATTATTTTTGTGTGCAAGTAATATTTGTACAAGAGTATGATATAGTGCTATATCCCTTCCAGCACATTTAAACACTGAATTCAATGCACCACTTAATCCAGTTTGCTGTACTCTACCCCAGCTGCTGTCTCCCACAGAGGCTCTAACACTGTCATGAACAGCTGACTTCACCTGCTGCTGGTGTGTGTTTGACCACGAGAGGCTGGAGAGATCAGAGTGAACTGAAGTGTGGTAGTGCAGGGAGCAACGTCAATCAATAAGTAGGAACGCAATGATTTCAGAATGTTTTGTCTTTTTATTCACATACAGTACCTTCAATTCTGGAGAGATTACATTCAAGAATATCAAAAGGAAATGCCAAAGGAGTGAATTCCCTCATAAAACCCAAAGAGTACAAAGAAATGCATTGGGACGTACAGTACGCAAACCTAAAATCTGCATATGTTAGATATGCAAACATTATAGACTACAGCAGGGTAACATATACTCTATAACATGAGCGTAACGTAACATATGACCACAGGGTCATATTTACACTTGATCCAAAAATGTAGTTCCTCTAAACCATTTAATCTCATCTTTTTGTTTTTTATACATATTAACATGTACAGTATCGTTCTTTAGTGGGAAGAGTTGGAACCGTTTCTCCAACGTCCTTTAAGTCACACACACACGTCACACTGGTTGTTGTTTGAAAGCACTCTACACTCTACTTCACCATAAATAAAACAATTACAAAAATATACCTCACTTCAAACAGAGCCATCGTGGAATGGTAAAAAACAAACAGCACAACCTGGAAGAATAAGATGGAGGAGAAGGTGGGGATGGAGATGGGAAGGGGGGCTGGTTTCCAGGGCAGTGTGTGAAAGAGTTTAAAGAGCAAGCTGGAATTCCAATGAAAGACAGCAGTTTAATGGGAATGTTTGAGGTTGTGACAGGCTGTGGGTGATGGCTGCGATTGGCTGGGACAGTGGTGGTGACGCGGGTAGTCGGGGTGGAGGTTGATTTCCCGGCATGGGTTCCCTTTGAAGTCGAACCGCCCTCCTCTGTGTGGAGGCCAACGTAGAAAGATGTGCTGACATTAGTGAACCAGTGATGCGGAGATGCAGGGGGTTAAAAACTCCAGGTCCATGTTGTATTAGTAGTGTGTTTACATTCACAGGTATATCCCATCGTACTAAGGCTCAGGAGGGTGCAGTGTGTGTCAGTGTATGTGTATGTGCTGCTGCTGCTGCTGTTCCTCCTGAGAAGCAGAAGACTAGAAGCGAAGCTATTTTTTCTTGGAGTTGACGCTCTTGCAGACCCAATTCATGCCCTCCTGAAAGTGGGTTGAAGAGAAACAGCAGCGTGGTGAGAAGAAGAAAACAAAAGGCACATAAAGATGAATGCTAAATCAGTAACGCTCAGTTCGTAGGCTCACCTGAATCCCCTCACCAGTGAGGGCGGAGCAGGACTGGATCTGCCACATGCGATCCCGGATGGTGTGCAGATTGAGACCCTCTGCGATCTCGGAGGCCGGGGCGGCTGTCAGCAGGTCCTGCTTGTTTGCAAAGATCAGCACAGGAACGCCGCTCAACTTCTCCTCATCCAACAACTCGGCCAGCTCCTGCAACGCACACAAACGTCTGTCAATTATACGTAATCACACACGCAAATTCTGCCACAGAAAAATTATGTTACTACAACACAGAGCTGTAGACTTGAGAGTGATTAAGACTCCTGCGAAACATAATTTCATACAGACTTAAAGGCCAAAACAGCTACATCTCCTGATTTGAGCTCCTAAAATCCTAAAAGCATAAAAAAACCACTTAGACAGATGCTAGTAAAAGCCAAGTAAAATCACTGGTTTTAACAATTTTTGTTTTTCCTCACTCTAACAGTAAACTGAATGTTTTTTTTACCTGACCCGTCTCCTCAAATCTCTTTCTGTCAGCACTGTCAATGACATAAATCTGAAACAAAAGAGAATGTTCCTTGTTAGCATGTGCAGCTACTTCAACAGATCAAAACAATAATGTAGACTTTGATTTAAAAAAAAAAAAAATGCTTATTTGTTGTGTTCGATGCATCCAACTCCTCTCACCAGCACGTCTGTGTTTTCAAAGTAGTTTCTCCAGTACGGCCTGATCTTCCTCTGGCCTCCAATGTCCCAAACATTCAGTTTAAAACCCTGAGACTGAACGCTCTTTATGTTGAATCCCTGCATAGAACATAGAAAGCAAAAGGTTAGACAAGTCCCAAAAAAAGTGATACACCCCTGTTGTGTTATGTCTGTTTGCTCTCATATAGGTGGTGTTTATGGAACTTTCCTCCATACCTGTGTGGGGGTGATGTGGCTGATGTCCTCAGATGCCAGCTGTTTGAGCAAGGTGGTCTTCCCACCGTTGTCCAAACCCAGCAGCAGTATCCTAACCTCCTGGTCTGGTGTGCTCTTTAGCTTCCGCAGGATGGACAGCAATCCCTGCAATAACAACAAAACAGTGAAAATATCCATGTGATAATACTTTAACCAGGGGGGGAGCACTGTTGCAGCTGACCACCATTGTAGACATGCACCTCTTCCTTCCATCCACCGGGATTCCTCACTTACAGGCCGTGCAAGTGCACTTCTAGTCCCCACTGTGGCTTGTGAAGATGTGCAAACACTCTCCTAACGGTACCAATACGTGAAAACAACCACGGGTCCCGTGAGTAGCTAGTCACTTCAACTTCTTTGGTTTCACTGTGCCTTGTGGGCTACCTAGTTGTTTGAGCGCAGAGCTTTAGTTCATGCTAGTTAACGGCACGCAAACAGGAGCTAAAAGTAGCTAACGTGCTAAGCTAATCTCCCCTGATAACCGAACGATGCAACAACGGTTGCAGTTGAATGTTTTTTTTCTCGGCAAGTTGCAAAACAGCGGCTGTCATTAAACCCCAAATGTATTCAACTGAGCGTTTACTTAATGTGAATACGTTCACATTTAACAATGTGTTAACAGTTAATAGCTAATTAATACGACAGAATTAAACTCACCATCTTTGTTGCCTTCTCTCCTGGAGACGCCGCCGAGGGTTACTAAGGGGAGTGACGTCAGACGTACGGTTACGCACAAAGACCTCGGGCACGAGCTTAAACATGGAGGATGAGCTCAGTTAGTTAACTGCCTCAAACGGGATTAGATCGCAGGATTTAGTTTTTGTTTTTTTCATTTTCCCCCTCTTAATTAATACTATTATTATTTGTATTTGTATTATTTCCATCCCTTAGAACAGTGATGAAACTTTTACTCTAAAAACTGCACACTTCCGGTACAGTAGGTGGCGGTATGCACCTATTCAAGTTGCTTGCGATCCGCCAATCAAATTAGAGAAGAAGAAGAAGAAGAAGTTAGCTGCCTGCTAACTAGCTAAATGTTTCAAATGCACTGCCAAGAATAGTTGGACGTGTTTCATTTTGTGTGCGGTTCTTGCCGTCAGACGTTGAAATAAGTCACTACACGTAAATGTGTTTCATTTATACACTGAACGCAGAACAAATCCCATTATGAAAGAGCTACTTAGCTAGTCAGTTAGCATAACAGCTAGGTAAGTTAAAACAGTAGGGTGAACCTATTTTTAACCAACACCCTGACCGTGTCTCTAAAGGTTCTCATTCCAGTAAAGCAATAAAGCCTCAGGAATTTAGGGTTCACATTGGGAGCTGCCCCATCCCGTGACTGGAGGACGGTGTGCCACGTGCACATAACCTCACTGTCCTACACGAGCACATAACCTCACTGTCCTACACGAGCACGTTTGACTACCTGACAGGTTGCTCTGTGCGGGGCGAGAGAGGAGGAATCTCTCGAAGGTACGTGAACGTTAATGTTATTCAGTTCAGACTAAAGCTTTGCAGCTCGTGAGTCGATGTCTCGTGTTTTGTTAGTTTATTGCTGCCTGCAGAAGTCAGCTGGTAACTCGAGTTATGAGTTGCATCACTCCAAAGCTCCTGCTGACACGTTCTAACTATTTCTGGTCACTAGACTTAACAAAAGACTAACCACTCTGTGCACCCATCGAGTTCATGTCTTTGTATAAGTGTAATTCAACACATTTAATGCACGGACAAGCTACTCGTTGTGTTAACTGAGTAGTTGATAGTATCCAGATGTATTATGCTCAGGCCTGCAGATCCAGTTTTCTCAAGACTCTGGTGAACTTCACCTTTGTCATGTAGCAGACACTAAACCCTGTTCATTTCTGAACTATCCCTTCAAATGCATGCAGGGCTGCAGCTACCTATTACTCTCATGGTCGATTAATCTGCTCATTCATTCATACATTTCCATAAGCCAACCATTCAGTCTATTATTGGGGCTGCAACTAACAATTGTTTTCCATAATTTATCGATAGTCGATGTTTAAGAAATGCCATTTACAGTTTCTTAGAGCTCTACTCTGTACCTTCAATTTGCTTATTTTGTCCAACCAACAATCCAGAGCATTAAAATATTCAATTGACTGTTAAATATGTCAGAAGAAAGACAGAAAATCCTCACATCTAAGAAGCGATAACCAGAGAATGTTTGACATTTCTGCTTGAAACTATTCATCAAGTATTAAAATATTTACAGACAACTTTCTGTTGATTGACAGTCGACATATCGTTGCAGCTTTAGTTATTATTCATTTAGGAATTATGCTCATTATGAGAGTAGAAACCAGCAAATAGTCACATCCAGGAGCTGGATTCAGTCAATGTTTGGCGTTTGTGCTTAAAGAAATCATTGAAAACTATTTATTGATTATCAGCGTTGTTGCAGATTAATTCATCTTTCTTCTCATCTAATAATGTGTGTATTGGTTCATTAGTACGTCAGTTTATTGATCCAGCTTAAGTTGCAGATCTGTGAACAACAAGCCATCAAATATATCAGTGAAGATACGGTTTGTTTATTTAGTTGTTTTTTTTTTTTAGGTATTTTGTTGTACTGAAACAGTTGGTCAGAAAATGTATCAATAACAATGTTTATTCTTTATCAGGCAAAAATGCCAAATATTCACTGGTTCCAGCTTTTTAAATCTGAGGATTCGCTGCTTTTCTCCGTTCATTTCATTTGTAAACGTCAAATATTTTTATTTGGGATTGTTTGGTCGGACGAAACGAGCAACCTTGCAGGCATGAACTCTGGGAAATTGTCATGTGCATTTTATTAGTATTTACACACATTTTATAGAGGAAATGATTAATCACGTTAATAACTAGTTGTAGATAGAATGTAAAATGAACTGTTGTAACCCTAATATATTCTTTAGCTGTAGGTATCGGATCTCATGCTATGGCTTCCGGTCTTTGTTTATATATTCTTGTTATATGTTGTGGTATGTAGGGCCACGTTGACTTTTACTCTACTTTCTAACTAACGGCTGCAGAAACAGTCCATGTCCAGCCAGACTGAGCCTTCAGAGAAGTACACTGATATGCTCCTCTCCTCATTTGCCCTTTTCTTTGTAAAAGATTAAACCACACGAGGCGAGTTTCTGTTGTGAGGTTTCACCGAATACCTACAGTAAATATCTGCTAATGTGATGGTGAAGAATAAATTTCACTATTGTTTGATCTAGCAATTGTAATATACCAGAGCCCAGATGGGAAATCCTCAAAACGCTTGTTTTGACCAACTAACCCTCCAAAGCCTAAATATATTTCACTGACTATCACATAAGACGTATATGTCTTCTCATTCGAGAGGCTGTAACCAGCGAATGTTGAGCTTTTTCTTTTTGCTGGAAAAATACCCAAAACCATGAATTCATTATTAAAATAGTTGCCTTTTTTTTTTTTTGTGTCTCAATCAACTAATTGTTGCAGCTCTCCATATGCACACAGAGCTTTGGGAATGTGAGTTCAAAGCTTCAACAGTCTGGCCCTCTCTGACACACCGAGTTAAATATTACTGTTAATGTTACATCGGTTCAGACCAGGTCAGTCTAGTGCGACAACAAACATGGAGCCAGGTTGTGATGAAAGAGAGATCGATGTCATTCATTAGCCGAGTGAGTCTCTTGTTTCTGTTCTGTTCATCAACGGCACATTTAGATAATTATATCATTATTCCTCTCTTTCTCTGCAGGTTTCGACCGCAGCTGCTGAGTAACCTCCTGCAGAGTAACCAGAGGTGGCCATACACTTGGAACTTTTATTTAGCGACCACGATGACTCTGAAGTCATTCGACATCGACGCGCCGCGATGGGACCAGTCGACGTTTATGGGCCGAGTGAACCACTTCTTCAACATCACAGACTGGCGAACGGCGGCCCTACCTGACTCTCGCTTGGATGGAGCCAAAGCTTTAGTAGAATCCTGCAGGTAAGACGGTGCACACGCGCTGTCACACAGTGACTGTAATAGCCAATAGTATGACGATCCACACATCTACACATATCTTAACTCAGCAGTTTAAGCAAAGACACAACCTAAAACAATAGTTTTAGACATTAAAGTCAATATCTTCATTCATGCATGAAGTTAACTGACTTCTTAATCCTGTACAGGTTTTTAAGGATAAAATAAGCTTTAGTCAAGTGCAATATATCTGACAGAAGTACAGATATAGCACATAGTATGAGAACTCTATTTCTGGGTGGATTTTCCCTTTTGATATTTGGCTCATACGCTGGGGTCTGCACTTTAACTGCCATCTGCAAGTTTCAACATGTAAAAACGCCCCCGCGTGGAGTTGATGGTATGAAACTGTGCCGGTGTGTCTCTTTGCCCTCTTCAGGGCCGGATCGGTCCCTCCCGGCACCACAGAGGAGCAGCTCCACTATGCTAAGAAGCTGTACGACTCGGCCTTCCACCCCGACACCGGAGACCGCATGAACCTCATCGGCCGCATGTCCTTCCAGGTGCCCGGAGGCATGGCCATCACCGGCTTCATGCTGCAGTTCTACAGGTACCGACCGAGGAGCTTCACTTCACCGCGTCGCGCTAGTGTCAGAGAGGAAACGCTTCTCATAACCGTCTGTTTTCTAGGACAGTTCCTGCTGTGGTATTCTGGCAGTGGGTGAATCAGTCCTTCAACGCTCTGGTCAACTACACGAACCGTAACGCTGCCTCCCCCATCACTCCCAAGTAAGACTCTACTGCACGTGGATGTGGACTGTTTTAAAGGAACAATAATCCTTCTGTGTTGTGTGTTCAGCCTCTTTCGGACCTCGCTACTTAAAGCTGATGGTGATTAAACACGTTGGTCTCACTTCTAAATAAGTTCCCGAGTGATTTTAATACTTTTGCACTGTGATGAATAATGAGAAGAAGGGTCGGGCGTCATTGTGAGAGGCTTCAATGCATAATAGCTTTTAACATCTATCACTAGTGCAGCCTGAGAAAATGAAAACACTGTTCCTCCTTTTACGACGTTAAACTTTTCAACTCCTTGCTGTTCGGCCGCTCCCTTTGGCACCAGATGCCGATGTCTGAACATTGTGTGTTCTATGTGAGGAACAGGCTTTTGTTGTCTCTGTCAGGCAGATTGGAGTAGCCTACGTCACAGCGACCAGCACTGCGTTAGCAACAGCAGTGGGACTCAACCTCTTCACAAAGGTACAGAACACAGACCATTATTATCACGACTGTTTACTGTTGCTGCATAAGTTTGATTTTTGTTTTAACGAGTTCTCATTCTGCCTTAATGTGTCATCAAACTCATCTGAATAACTTGAAATGATGAAGCAGTCTGATGGGTTTTTTGCCTCATTTTAGCAACGGGACGAGCGCACTTTTAAAAGAAGACATCTTTATCAAATTAAAGTTTGATTTATGAATTCTGAATCGTCCCTGTGGTACAGCTGCAGTTTCCCAATAACAATATAAATGAAGTTGCGAGGACATTCATTTCTGCAGCGACGGCGTGTGTTCTCTTCTGCATCTGCACATAGTTAGTCTCAAAAATGATTCCTCCTTTTGAAGATTATTGTCATCCAGCGTTCCCTGAGCAGCTCTCCTCCTGCAGAACGTCTCTGCTTTAACGCCATCTCCTGGCAACTTCCAACATGATGGGAAACCTCTAGAGCTCTGCTGAATTTAGGGCGAGATGAGAGGGATTTCCGTAGTTATGAAAATTGATCAAATGTTTCTACTTGTAGTCCTAAAAGTGGGACCTGTTGAGAGTGATTTTCTACTCTTAATTTGCTTGATAACTACAGCGTGGGCCCAGAGGGCAGCTGAAGAAGATGCAACGTAGATAAAACGCACAAGAACCAGATGAGGTTTAAATCTCTGGAACTAGCTCGTCAGGTTTTTGTTTTCTCTTGTGGGAGACTTCATTCATGTTTCAGTACTATCCTGTGACGTAAAATAAAGCTGACGATCATAAAGTGAAAATCGTAGCACCTGATATTTTGTGTGTCTTTCTCCTGCAGAAAGCTCCGCCTCTCGTGGCTCGCTGGGTCCCCTTTGCAGCGGTGGCATCTGCCAACTGTGTCAACATTCCCATGATGAGACAACAGTGAGTCCTGACCTGTTACTGCTTCAACTCCTTCAAAGATGCACGTGGTGGTGTTGTGTTGTGCAGGTTTTAATGCGCTGAAATCGAAAGTGCCTTCCTTGGATCAGATATTCACTCAAATCACAGAGCTCTGTTGCATTTCCTGTGTGAGACCCTGAAAGATCTTGTTTTTGATTTTTGTCAAAAAATCTTTAAGAGCTTTAACAATGTTTGTGGAGGCCAACTGTTAATTTAACAACCAAAAAAAGAACAAATTAATTGTTTTTACTGGCCGTTTTTTTCCCAGACTGAAATATCTCAACTATTAGATAGAATAGCTTCATTGGCCATGAATGCGTACGCATACATGGAATTTGACTCCGGTTTATACATTGCTCTCAATGTACATACATGGTATATATAAATATAAACAAGAAAAATATAAAAACAAGGACATTCAGGACAACAAAGCAGAACAGAGAAACTAAGCATAAACATTTCTCTGTTCTACTTTGTTGTCTTGAATGTCCTTGTTTTTAGTTTTCTATTAGATAGACTATTCATGATTCCCAGAGGATGAATCCTAATGTGATTCAGACTTTTCCTCTCGTCACCAAAACCTTTTATGATAATCATGTCATATTGATAAGCATTTTGCTAACAGCCTGTACAACACAGGCATTTGTTATCTTATCACACAGCTAAACAGCAGATTGTATCTTTAAAGTAGAACAAATGTTCAGCAGCACGACACGATTAATACAGCAAGTTCAGCTGACTTGTATCATAAAGGTTGTTTATTGACCCAGACTTGATATTCAGACTTTAAAGCAGATGTTTCTCCAGTACGGTTTCTCTTCATTGATCCGTGTGTCTGATGGTGAAGACGAGAATCATTAGTTTGAATATTGTCGATTATGTTTTCGGCGGTTGATGAGAGAACCTGTTTCACTTCACCTTCATTTAGTCTCCGTTTGTTTTTTTTCAGGGAAATTCTGAATGGCATTGCTGTCACGGATGAAAATGGCAACAAACTGGGCCACTCTACGGTCGGCACTCTGGACACACTTTAAGACACTTTTATTTAAAAAAATAAAGCACATTAGTCGTCCTTTACTGTTCGTTAAGTGTCTTGAAATCTTGTTTGATCTCCGCCTGTAGAAAGCGGCAGTGAAAGGCATCACTCAGGTGGTCGTCTCTCGGATTACCATGGCTGCTCCAGGAATGAGTACGCAAAGAAGCCTCCTCGTATAAATATTGAGTTCTTGAAGTTATCCTCTTCCTCTCTTAACCTTCTTCTTCTTCCATCAGTCATCCTCCCCATCATCATGCAGAGAATGGAAAAATATAAGTTCATGCAGGTTAGACCTTTTTATTACCTTCATCAGCGTCCTCCGGCCATCAATGTGCATCCTTCATCAAACTCTTTCTGTCTTTTCACAGAGAATCACGTTTCTCCACGGACCCATTCAAGTGATGATGGTGGGAGCGTTGTAAGTAGAGAGCCTCGCAACGTGTTTTAATGAGCTCGGGAGTGTTTTTATTGTGGCTAAAAATAACTTTTGCTTTCCCATTTTACAGTTTGGTCTTCATGGTGCCTGCTGCCTGCTCCCTGTTCCCTCAGAGATGGTAACAAACTTGTTTCTGTACTTTCACCTGCTGACAAATGTATATTAGAGATTATAATTATAGGGATCCACAGATATTAGCATTGCATTCTTGTAACGTTGCCGGACTCAGCCAGACGGTTAAATTATCTAAATTGATGCAACAGAACCTGAGATGTTGTCGGTTTTTATTCCACACGTCATTCCTTGTCAAAACCGGGTGCCTACATTACCCACAATGCTACAGTTTTCTAAATAATGTAGTAACTAAAACACAAAAAAACAAGCTGATAATCTAAAAAAGAGAACTTATGAAGTTGTAGAAAATGTACTTGTTGTAAATATGTTGCAAATTTGTAATATGTTATTTTCCTAATTAGTAATAAAACTGTTTGTCCTTTTTTTTCTCCCTCTGCCCCCTCCCTTCCTCCTAAAATACCCCTCCGTGTGTCTTTATCAGCTCTATGGCCGTGTCCAAGCTGGAGCCCGAGCTGAGAGACTCCATTGTGTCTCAGTATGGAGACGCTGTACAACGTGTCTACTTCAACAAAGGCCTCTGAGGCTGTGAGAGCTGATTATCTACTCGCCACACAAGATCGAATACATAACAACTGCTGGATTTCTTTTTCTTTAAACCAGTTTTACTTTAAAACCAGATAAATACTTCTATGGGTCTAAACTCTGAAACGGTCATTCAGTGTGGCGTGGAAGTTCTGTGTGGTAAAAGTGGAAGATACTGCCCTCTTCTGCCAGAACAGAGGTAGACGTACGACTTGTTTGCATGATTTATCTGAAAGGTTTACCAGTCGGATCATGTCGCTGTGTGTCAACTCACATTTGTGCCACAATCATCAGTATAAACTGGAATAAAACCACAAATATTTGAAATGTAGAACCCTGTAGAGTTGTTTTTTTTTACTAATCTGTATGTGATAAAGAGTTTAGGCAACATGCACATATGGATGAAAAGGTTAAGTTTTAGGTGTCTTTAATGATCTGAGACAGTGGTGGAAGAAATACTCCTTTACTGAAGTAAAAGTACCAATACCACAATGTGATAATACTGCCTTTCAAGTAGAAGTTATGCATTTACAATCTCATGTAAAAGTATTTAAGTATTCTCAGCAAAATGTTCTTCAGTACTGGTTGTGCAGAAAAAATGGCCTCTGAGACGGATGTGTTGGATGCTGGGCAAAGTGATGTAGTTTTAACTACTTAGCTAGTTCTTTACATGCAGTTGGAGGTTGAGAGGTGATTAAGAAAAAATGGGCAAAAAGGATATGCTTCACAATTGTGAATTCATTTCTTTAGATTTTTCTATAAATTGTGCTTTTATTATGAAATATTGGACAATTTTTGGGACTTCAAACAGTTATTTAAAAGATAAGTTAATCTGTGAAACCCTTTATTTGAACTCATAGACACCGCTCTTTAGTGTTTAACAATGTGTTGTATCTTTATGTGAAAAATAACATGTAGAGTAACTAGTAAATCCAGCTGTCAGGAAATGATTAGAAGTATAAAATTAAACCCAGAAATGTTGTGGAGTAGAAGTATAAATTAGCATAAAATAAAAATACTCGAGTACTAAACGTCTTCAGTGATTTTCATTAAATTGTCTTCCGTTTTCTTTACACATGTTTATGAACTATTGAAATAACTAATATGCAAAACATGGATATTATTTTAAAAATGCTAAAATACCACAGACATTCAAAAATGAAAAACGAATATATTAGACTAATATATTTGGAGATATACGGCTAATACATTTTTTTGAAGCAGCAGCAGGTCCGGTTGTTCCAGCCGGAGGAGGTGGCGCTCCCTGCCGGTTCATCCGGTATCACCGGGGGGAGGAGCCGCACGGGCTGCTTTATAAAACCGCCTTGATCTTGGAAACGAAAACAGTCCCTGAAGACAGACAGCTGCAGACTCAAGTGAAGACACCTCAGAGGAGCACACAGAGAAACCTCTCCGTTACACCGGAGCTGAGCGAGCAGACCTCCCGGTGGTGTTTACCAGGTTTCTGTCGGTTCAAACAAGAAAAGGAAAAAAAGAAAGAAGCGGAAGGAGACGCAGCTGGATCTACACGGCAACGCATCTGCGCAGCACACAGCTACGAAGACGCTGAAAGAGAAAAACGTCGCATCAGTGTTTTGTGAAAATGCCGTTTTCCGTTAACGGCATCCTTTGCACGCTCGCGCTGCTGGTCCTGTGGCGGGCGGAGGAGCTCGCGGAAGCGTGCAGCTGCGCTCCGGTACATCCGCAACAGGCGTTCTGCAACGCAGATGTGGGTGAGTACCGTTACAGCACCGGGGACTGTTGTTGTTGTTGTTGTTTACCTAGCCCATGTTGCACCAGGCTCCTGCGCAGATACCGGGAGCTGCAACCGCTCAGCCCGCCTCTGGAGCGCGCTGAATGGGCTCACGGAAGCTGCTGGAAACCGCTGGAAAGCCTGAAGGTGGAGGGTCCTCGAGGCCATGGCCCGACAGATTGCATCCGGATCGCACACTATCACACACGCACGCAGATCGCATTGTCATATCTTGTCATGTCATGGTGACAACAAAGCACTTCTATAATACCAAAGTAGGAATAAAAAAAGATACATGTTGTTTAGGCGTCATGGAGACATGTTATGAAGGGACACGCACCCACCCACAAACACATGCTCATTTAGAAGTAAAGTCCCCCAAATAAATGTATTTTAACATCACAACAAGGAGTTAAAAGTGCACCTGTTAATATAATAATTAACTGAATGGTATTCATCCACTCTGATTCCATTGTCATATCTCAGTGCAGTGCTCTAATAACCCACAGTAAGAGGACTATAGTGTCCCAGGATGTTTGGGCACATCAGAGTAGAACACAGCAAGGAGTCTGTGACCATCACTGTACATACTGTCTCAGGTAGAGAGTGGCTTCACCCCTCAGCTGCTCCGGGACGAGGCTTTTTGCAGGGCAACGTGGCACAAGAGAGGGACAGAGACGAGGAGGGAAAGAGCAGAGAGGAGGATGGAGAATGTGAAGAGATTTTTTTTTTATTATTTTGGAGGGGGGTTGAATGTTAACCACAGAATATGTCACACCGCGAGCTTTCCTCTTCTTTTTTAAATTTCCATTCCGGCCCTGTTTCTTCCTGTGAGGGGTGGTGCTGGGAGGAATTACAGGAATGCTGCTGGGGTTTTCCCAACTTTGCTCCGGTGTAATGCAGACACACACACACACACAACTGTAGGCCTGTTGCCATGGATGGTGGACGCTTGCTCACACACACACACACTAGCGACAGATGACATCTGGCTGTCAGTTCAGGGTGAGTTTTTAGGAGGAAAAGTCACGGTCCAAGTTAAAATATGCATGGTATCCTTGAGAATGGGGAAACTCCAAGACCGCACTACATTGGCTTCGTCTTTTCATCCTTGCTCTCTTGTCTCCTTATTCACTTCCACACGCTGTGTGTTTGGGGAAGAGAGGTGTATCCGAGTAACTTCACATTGCAAAATGACATCTCTATTTTCAGGCGTGACTCAATGTCTCGCTGAGCTGGAAGGACTTAGCGACAGGGCGTCTCACAGGAGAGGTGTGTTTGTGTTCCGTGTGCTCATGTTGTCTTTTTAAATGGTCTATGAGGCAATACAGCTTTTGTCAGAGGAGGGAGGATGCACTTTAAAAGGCACAAATGGTCGATGTCATTGTGTGGCGATGGTTTCAAGGTGGACCCGAGACGGAGACTGTGGTTTTTGGCGGAACTTAAAACCCCAATCTGTGGATGGAGGAGCAGCAGGGGTGAAATGGGCTTTTGCAGGCACGCAGAGAATCAGAATACAGTTGGTTGTCTGGTTGCCCAGAATGTGCATGTAGGCAACAACAAAGTGACTTTGTCTACAGTTATGCGGTCTGACAATTTGATATTTGTTTTGGCGAAACTGGGATACTCGCGTGTGTCACCTTCTGTTTTTCATGCTAAATGATGCTCTAGGTTAAGACCACAAGCCATTAAAATCTAACAGTGTCATGCACCTACCGCACAATCACACACTCGCATACACACACATGCGTGCGCAGAGACAAACGCCCTCTTTTCATATAAATCTGTTGCCCACAAAGGGGAACTTCCCCGGCAGCCCGGCCAGTCAGACTGTCCGGAGGCTGGGCGTTGTGGAAGACCAGAGGCACCCTGCTGTCTGCAGGAGTGGACATGCAACAACACATGCATGTCTCTATTTATAGAAACGGAGAGATGTTTCTTCATGAAATGTACAATTGGATAACATTGTGCAGAGAGTATTTGTATTTTTGTTTTGACTATTGTATTTTTGCAAGGATCCCTCAAATATGGTTCATAAAGTGTTGTCACAAAGATCTGCACTGAGGCTAAATATGTTTAGCGGTAAAGTTAATCATAAGAGACAAAATAAATATAACCGTGCATTTTGAACAGTAAACTTCACTAGAAATTAAAGCTGCACTGTTTGACATTTCAGCTCATTGTTTTGTTTTACTCGCCCAGATTTTGGTTCGGTCTCACCGCTCTAAATCATCGTTGTTTCAAGCAGCTGTTGTCAGTGAAAAAGCTCCAAAAATCCCAAAGTACAGCAGACGGACTCAGTTTGAGGCTAGCTGGTGAACGTAGTGAAACATTTAGCAGCTAAAGAGAGAGATCTTCCCCTCAGGAGTTGGTAGAGACCAAAAACAGAGTTGGAAGAGAGTGAATATTGGACTATCGTTCATCATTTTACCTGATACAAAACTCCAATTGAATGATAAATGTTGATCTGTATCACCTGGATGTAAATAAGCAACTTCAAAGATGATGATACGTCAACGCAAGTGGCCAAAAAATCAATTAATGCTGCTTTAAATATTTCAACAATTGGCTGATTTTAATATGCGAGCTTCCCAAATGTGAGGATTTGCTGCTTTTCTCTGTTTTGTATAATTGCTAATTGAATACTTTTTTATTTTGGACTGTTGGTTCGCACAAAAAACAAGTTAGGGTTTGACTTTTGACATTTGAGCAATACATGAATCAAAACACTTATATAATGACATCGCACACGCCAGTATTTGTCGATATCATCCTCTTGTGATGTGTTGATCCGACTCTTCATCACAGTGGTTGCTGTCGTCGTCATCGGGGAGCTCACAAAGGAGACCAGAGTCTTAGTCTTCACACGGGTGTGTTCACAGGTCATGAGGGCGGTTTCGTCTCTGGTCAAATGAACAGAAGGCCCACATAAGTCTGGAGCTGGACAAACCACATCAGGGATGATTTGGTGGTCAGTGGAGTATGAAAAAAGAAATGGATAGTCATGCGGTGGGATTGAATGGGGGGGGGGGGCACTTAGAATGTGGTGTGTATTCGTATGGGGTTTTGTATGGAAAACATTGCGTAGTGCAGCTGATACGCATGTATAAGTCATTAAACGTCGTCGGGACAGGGGAGCGGTAGAAATGTGGGTCAGCTGGTGGTTAATGGAGGGGGCCCTCCTGGCTGCTGATTGACTGATTGCTGATCAGATGACTGATTGCTGATCAGATGACTTCAGGATCAATCTGCAGTGAAGCTCGGCCTCCTGCGGGCCTCCCCCCCCCCCCCGTCGTGCTGTTTTAGTATCACGCTGGATAGTCTGCCGCCTCCGCATCACGCCGTTTAGACTGCACAGGATGATCCGCTCTGGCTTTATTGCAGGGGGGCTGAGAAGTAAACACATCTGCAACACCAAGGCAGACAGATAAGCTCCCATAACAGCAATCCGTTGTGAACAACAGGGTAGTTTCCCCTCAGTATTGTGTCCTGCTGCTGATTCTTCGCTCATTAGTTTGCGGCTCCGAATGAGGTCGGGAAATGAGAGCGGAAAAACTGAGAGGAATGCAGGAGAGAGTGCCAGCCAGGTATACTTGTGTGTGTGTGTGTGTGTGTGTGTGTGTGTGTGTGTGTGTGTTTATATGTGTGTACTCTGGCTGCTGCTGCATATTTGCATTAAACATCAGAGTGGAACTAAAAGAAGAAGTTTGCTTGTGAGGAGCAAGAATTTAGCTTTTCTCTGAAGCTCCTATTAATGACTTTATGAGGCCAGTTATCAGCTCCATTGTGGATTTGTTAATCGCAGAATCAACAAATCTTTTTATCTCCTCCGTCTGTGTTATTAGCAAATCAAACATCCGGGTCGTTCATCCACACTGCGTATGCGTAAGTTAATTACAACCCTTGTTGCATAAACGTCATTAATTAATTTATTGTTTTTGGTCACTTGTGGGCAGCGAGACGAACTTTAAACACAACCTTGACTTATTATGACTTCATAGGGTTGATGATAGAAACAGTTGGAGTCGTGTTTGTGTCGACCACTCATACTCAAGTGTTAATAGTTCATAGACCTCAATAGATTCAATTAAGAATTTATCTTCAAAACTGCATTCAGATTGAATAAAGATTCAGGCTTCCCTGCAGTGTTTAGTAGAAGATGTGATCCCCGTTACCTTCCATGAAGACTACCTCCACTCACATTGTGCATTATTACACTCCCACGTCAGGATGGGGATGGATTGTTGTTTCCTGATATTGCTCCCACACTTCCCCTGTCAGATAAAAGTTTTGAAACACAAATACCAAACATTAGTTCTAGTTTCTCAAGGATTTACTTTTTTTCTCTTTGTCATGTTGATGTAAAATGAATATTTCTCAGCTGTTTGTGGACAAAAATAAGTAAAAAAGATGTCGCCTTCCACTCTGGAAACATTTGATTGATTTTTCACTTTTTGGACAGTTTATACACTAAACTAATAATAGTAGTGGTCGTAGTTGCATGTGCAGAAAAGCATGCATTGCATGCAAGGAGCAGAAGAGAGAGAGACGTTCTAAACTCTGGGAGCCATGAACCCCCATATTTGTTTCTGCTCCAAGTCATAAACTGAAGCCACGGGTGTAAGAGCAACAGCAGTCAACTGTGTGTGTGTTTATCTATGTGTACGTGTCCACTGTTCCTGCTTATTTCATGTTTTTTTTGTCTCTATTGCTCATATTTTCCATTCTGAATAAATGCCCGAAGCATAGCTGCAGCTTGATGTAGTCAGTTCAGCCATTAAAACACACAATACACACACACACACACGGTGAGAAACAAGCCTCTGGCCCATTCTCTCTCTCTCTTCCTCCCTCTCTGCATATCAGCTTTCAAGTTGTACTCTTATTTGTTAATTCTGCTCCTTTGCCGGTTTCCTGTTCATGTTTGGAAGCAGGAAGCTTGGTGCTGCAGGCCAAATCAGTTTATGTGTCTGGCCCTCATGCAGTTTTGGACCCAATAGGAACCCTTAGTTGGGCTGCTCCCGACCTTAATGTGGTGTGTTGTGCACATGAGACTTCAGGCAGATGTGGACGTTGCTTTGGCCGTCAAAACTGCCTGTTTAAGCCATTTTTAAAGCAGAAAATACCAAATATGATCTGCTGTCAGTTTCTCCAATGTGATCATTTGCTGCTTTTGTCTGTTTCACATCCTTGTACACTGAATTTCTTTGTTAGTCGGACAAAATAACACATTTGAAGATTGTGATCGCCATTTTTCACTATTCTCGATATTTTATAGACCAAACAATCGATTGATTTGTCGAGAAAATACACATTAGCTTAATCATGAAAATACTTACTTACCGTACGTATGAATGGAATGAATGATTCCAAACAAAAATGAGTCGCTGTACACACTTCCATTAAAGGTCAGCCGATCGATATTGGGTCATTGAGGCCGGTACAGATTTTTTTAGATTATTAATAGTTTAACACACTACTGTAAATACAAATCGCATGAAAGAAATGTAAAGTATGTGTGAGGTTGTAGAAACCTGTAATAGCTTATAAATATTTATTTAAAAAACCCAAAAATACATACAATAGGTAAAATATAAACATTTTACATATTTAATATTATTAATATAAAAAATGTTGTAACATAAGTACTGCTGTATAAGCAACCTAAAAAAGATTGTTTTTATTCCAAATCAGAAGACTCTTTTTGTGCACAGACAATAGTAAAGAGGCATCCATTAAATTCACAGACAACAAAACTGACAACGGGATGTTTTATACAAAGGAAGAATAAAATATCGGTTAATATTAATTCTCTTTGGATTTCCCATTAAAAAAGCATTTTTGATGAGGTTCCCAAGAAATGCAATAAGCAGGACATTTTACAGTTTAAAAATACACAACAAATAATAAACATGTATACCAATTCATCTGCAATGAGCTAATAATATGAGCAGACTTGGTCCACAACATAAGAACTCCTTGTTCACAAGTCTGCTCGCTCACAGCAGCAGTCGTTCTGCATCCTTTTATTGGAAGATCTTTTTTTTTTGTGATGGTGGGATCATGTAACGCCGTGTAATCTGACGCCATGTCCCGCTGTTTCCCCAACAGTGATTCGAGCAAAGGTGGTTGGAGAGAGAGAGGTGGATTCTGGGAACGATGTCTACGGGAACCCCATCAAGAGGATCCGGTATGAGATCAAACAGATCAAGGTAAGAATACACCGATTGAATTTGAGAATCCACCGGATGCCTCCTAGTATTGTGATGCCTTCGTTCTGACCTTTGACGCCGCTCGCTGTGGTTTTGATCCAGATGTTCAAGGGGCCTAACCAGGACATCGAGGCTATCTTCACTGCTCCTGTGTCCGCTGTCTGTGGCGTTACTCTGGATGTCATCGGCAAGAAGGAGTACTTGATCTCAGGTGTGTATCACTTATGTGCTTTCATGTCAGCTTTTGTTTTTACAGATTTATTAAGGCGATTTAAGAAGGCGAAGAAGTGTATTTTCCAAAAAATATTGAACTGTTCCTTTAAGCTTACATTGTGTTGAGTGACTTTTAGTTGTTTACTTTGTTGCAGATTATATTTTAATAGTAGTAATTATTTAAGTTATTAATAAGTAACATTTGTTAATTTCCTCCAATCTGTTTTATATCTTTGTATAAAGTATTTGACAGTCAAAACAACTTGTTTTTTTGTGTTACTTTGGTCTCCGGTAACTTCTAATGGGTAGCTGTTAACAAACTATGATTCAAATCTACAAATAAATACTAAAAGAATAAGGACAGACGGGAAAGTAAACAGGAAACAGACAGATAATCAGAGATCGACCTCCAGGTGTAAACAGTCGTGCAGACAAACATGAGATCGGATAAAGACTAAACAGACCATTTTGTGTGTGGGAGGAGTAACTGTTTATGTTATTATGGGTAATGATATGCTGCTGACTAAACCCGGTGGAGACAGGGAGTGACCTTGTCTGTCGTGCGACAGCACAAGCTCCTGAGAGTTGTGAATGTACGGACTTTATATCTTGCTGCTCAAGGTGATGATGACAGTGAAATGAAAATAAAATATTTCACTCTACGAGATAACAGCCGACAGGGAACATCTTGTTGTTGGCTGGGTGTGTTGTGACTTATTGACTGTCCATAACCTTCGCAGCTGAAAAAACAGATATTTTCCCTCTTGTGTTCACAGCAGGGTAAATATTGGACTTACATTCATCAACGCCAAATGGATGATAACGTTGCTCCTTGACTACTTGATGTGTAAATAGGCAACTGTTTGCTAACAAGTTAGTCATATAATGATATGTCTGAGAGAGTTAGAGGAGAAGATTGATACCAATCTCTCATGTCTGTTTAGCTGTGACACTACAGCCAGGAGATGTTAGCTTAGCTTAGCATAAAGACTGGAAACAGGGGGAAATAGCTAGCCTGGCGCTTTCTGAAGGTAACAGAAATCTGTGTACCAGTACCACTAAAGTTCACTAATTAACACTTTATGTCTGGTTAAGTTAATCTGGTCTAAGTGTAAAAACAGCAATTTTACAGTTTTACGGTGGGGTTTGAATATTTGTTTTTACAATTTTGTTGTTTTCAAAACAAAAAAATATGTTAACTAAAGAGCTTTGGGCGTGCTAGTAGGTTGATTTTACCAGGCTAGCTGTTTCCCCCTATCTCCAGTCTTTATGCTAAGCTAACTAGCTGCTAGCTGTAGCCTTATATTTAACAAACGGATACGAGAGTGGTATCAATCCTCTCGTCCAGCTCTCCACTAGAGAGTGAATAAGCATATTTGCCAAGATGTCAAACTATTCCTTTAATGTTTAGAAGGCTAAGTACTGGCTGGTATTGTGACTGAAAGCAGCAGAATGAGACACACAGGATCATGATGTCATGCGTGCTCTGGTTTCCCCATCGCAGACAGAGATGCACCCGCAAACACGCGGCCCTAATTACAGAGTTGTAAGAGGAGGAACTGCTGAAGCCAGCGTTTCCTCTCTCCGACTGCAGGACTTAAGCAGTGGGAAAGTAGGACAGTTAACTTTCTGCAGAGCGGGGCATTTTTCTTTAAAACAATTCATCCCTCCTCCAGTTGGAAGGGTTAACAGCTGGACGCGTTCCAGTGAAACGTGAGTCGGTCTCGTCTGCGAGGACGTGCTGTAAAGACTTCGACATGTTGAGAGTTGCTCTGCAGACGAGATAGCGGTGAAGTCTGCAGGACTTCAGCAGATCTGCAGACTCAAGTTGAAATATCTTCTTGTTTTGACTGGTGCAAATCCTGTGTGAAACATAAACATTAGCTTTTCACACAGAGGATGAAGGTCTGTGTTGATGCCTGCAGACACCAGTCTGATATGTAACAGATCAGTTTTACCTGTGATCATGTTGCCTGACGCTTACAGCTTTTGGCCTTTTGTCCAATGAGAGCATTAATGTTGATGCATGTATAATGGCGTTGATTTTTCTGTCGTTGTGAAGCTTTTAACGCTGTCTCGTTCTCTTACAGGCAAAGCCGAGGCCGACGGGAGCATGCATGTGACCCTGTGTGATTACATCATGCCCTGGGACTCCTTGAGCAGCACCCAGAAGAAGGGCCTCACCCAGCGCTACGAGATGGGCTGCGAATGCAAGGTAAGACACAGAGGACTGTCCGTGTATGTGTGGTTTATCTCCTACAGGTAACTCTCAGCAAGAGAGTGAATAAGTCTATTTCTTAAAACTTTGCAAAAAGCTCTCTTCTGTTAAATGGAAAAAAGTGTTTGACGCCTCATTCTTAAAGCTATAATCCTTAAGATTCACAATAACAGCCACCCTGTTGTTTCTCCTGTTGAACGCTCCTTTAATGTGAAGCAGCAGCAGAAACTTAAAGCAGATCAAACCTAAAGAGAGCAAACAGCGAGGCTGAAAATGAATGAGGTAAAATTACGCTGGATTGCATGCTGCATTGTTTTCCAGTGAATTGCTTGTGCTTAGTTAGTTAACCTGAATGCAGTGAGGGAATGATGGACTCCACCACTACTTATAGAATACTATATAGAAAGATAATTACTACAACATTTATGGGCTTTTGCAGGGGAAAAAATAAAAAAAAGGGTTCGTAATTTTAAAACGCAGCAGTTTGTCCACACAGTAAAGGGAGATTGTCCGGTGTGTCTCTGCAGATTGTGCGCTGTCCCTCTTTGCCCTGTGAGATCTCGGCTCCTGAGGAGTGTCTGTGGACGGACCTGATGATCGAGAAGCAGGTGCACGGACGCCAGGCCAACCACTACGCCTGCATCAAGAGGGGGGACGGCTCCTGCTCTTGGTACCGCGGCATCGCGTCGCCCAAGAAGGAGTTCCTGGACGCAGACGACCCTTAGTCACGTGGCTGACCTTACCGCCCACTGCACAGCCTGGCTGGGAAATAAATGTAAACGATTCCATTGAAATTATAGATAACAACATCAGGCAAAGTGATTTTTGATTTAAAAAAAGGTAAAGCCAGTGTGACTGAAATTACCTGCTGGTCTGAAAACAACCTTCAGCCTCTCTTTGTATTTGTTGTCCGTTAGCTTGCTCGACTGTACTTGAAGGGGCTCAGAGGTTGTTCTCAGACAACGGCATCATGAGACATAGACTGGTCAAGTGATGATGTCACTTCCTCCTGAGGCTGGCGTCAGGAGGACATAAATTCTCGGTGAGACGGATCACTTCCTGCCCCGCAAAGCGCTTTAACAGCTCTGCTCTCCAGACCCCACCAATCAATCCCCGATCTGCTGACGATCATTCGTTACCCATCGTGTTTCTACTTTTATTACCTCATTGTCCATTTTTATTCCAAAGCCAAATTCCAAGTTGCCTTTTTTTTTCTTTTTAAATGATTGTGTCGCGCTCTCTCCGAATTAGTTACCGCTCCTCTCGTCTGCTCTGCTGGGAGCTGTTTGGCCACCGGTTGACTTCGGACGCCCACGACATGCTTGACTGTTTTCTTTAAAAAGAACACGAGTCATCTCGCATGGCTGATCTTTCCCTGGTTTCATTAGGGGGGAAATCTTTTCTCGTGGTGATTTTTAACTGAAGCCTGTGACCGTCACAGGCCTCACTGGACCAGTCTATGCTGTGTAAAGACGAGCGCTCTAAATTCAAACCTGCTCATGAGCTAAAAAGAAACCTCCTCGTCGCCCCCACAGTCCAATCAGAAATATCCCAAATTCAACTTCCTCATCTCGTCTTCATCCCTCTCCCTTGTTATCCCCTCTATGTAGCTGTGCAGTACCTATACATATACTTTTGTTGTTCCTTGATGATTATTATTTACTGCATTAGAACTAGATTTGCACTTTTTGAGGATGAGTTCCAGTAAAGACAAGAGCCTGAACACTCTGATGTGACAGTTATTATAGTTCGCCGAGAACGACAGATCCACCTCAGGTGCAGATTTCTCCTATTTTGAGTGCTTTTGGTGATCCATATATTTACAGACTTATTCTTGCTATCTTTGTCATAACAGATAAAATAGTACTTACGATGGAAGAAAAACAAAAAAAAGTGGCGCGTGAGAGGTTCGGATATAAGGGATCTTTTTACAGGTTTTATGTGTGAAAGAGAAACAAAAAAGAGCTTTGTTGGATGTTATTTCAGTGTCTTTGTATTATCTGTTGATTGTAAATGCCAACAGCAGTTTCATGATTTGCCGGTATATTCTCGCAGACGGTTCATTTCATGAGTAATAAGGTCTTTACATGCTTAATGTTAGCTTTGACTGCTCCTTCCACTTATTCATGAAAGCTTTATCGCTGTCATAGAAAGCAAGTTACTCAATCCAAGTTTACAGTGCTGTTACAGCTACATTAACAAAAAAAAAAGTATATATATGATGGAGTATTAGAGGCATAATTTAAAAGTAAACTTTCCATTTTCCATTACTTTTTATTTTTTCAGTGTTATAATTATACCTGTCATGATTTTTGTGTGTTTTCGCTGTCTTTGTCTACGATGTCTTTAGCTGTAGTGTCGAGGTGAGAAGGTCCTCTTGCGCTGGAGTAACGTGAGAGTGAGAGAGATTAATCCTTTTTGGAGAGGTGTAGAGAAATGAGAAATGGGTACCTTGTGTGAATAGAGGACTGTGCATGTGTTTGATGCTTTGTGTAAGTCCGGGCGAAGGACAAAATATTCAGTATTATCAAATAAAAACCACACGTTTGAAAGAATAATTGCTGCCTGCGTGAGTCTTATTGGGCGTTTGCTGATACGGTTTCGGTTAAGTGATGCCGGCTGGAGGCCCAAAGTGTTTTAAAAATAAAGTTACAGTAAGACATTATGAATCAAACTTGTGCTTTGAGCTCAATGCTGATGTTAGCATTTAGCATCACACACGCATTACCAGATTAGACTGATTTCATCATGAAATAAGTCACTTTAAAAATCATACCAGAAGTAAAATTGCTGGAAATAAACAACAAATCTAACCTTGTTTTATAATTAGGCTCTAAACTCTGAGATTGGCTCTTTGTGCTAAATGCTATCAGCGTGCTAACACACTCACAATGACAATGCTGTCTGAAATAGCATTTCTTAATAATCTTAGTTTAAAAATATTGAATTATTCCACATTTTCGGTGTGGGTATTTATCCGATTATGTAGTTAATAATGTCTTAAATCCGTAGAACCGGTAGACTACCATCTATAAGTCTACACACTGAATTCTAAATTTAACCTCCAAACATTTGTAATGCTGGTATGCAAAGCACTCAAACTCGGCCTTCATTTGGCGGCTGTTCGTTTCCCACTGAGGTTGTCTGTGTGTGAAGGACGTACTTCAGGGTGGAGAGGCCTTGCTGGGAGAAGGGCAGTCCAATACTTTTAAAGAGATGTGGTACTCGACTCAACTAGGAAAATATTTGAGAAATGTGCAGGCAGAGCCCAGACCGGGTGTTTTTGTCATCTCTGTTCATTCTCTCCTGAAAACTGTCAAACAGGATTGTAATAATCATCCGGTATTAGAGGAGATTTCCCTTCTCCCTACACTCAGATGTCACTGTCATCGGGAGGGTGTGAATTCAAGTACCAATATATTTAGGTGAAGCGGACTGATGCAGGGTGTGTACATGACTGTCTTCTGTCACTTCTCTTAAATCGACACTTTGTACTTTTCCCTTTGTGTTTGAAATCCAGTTGTGTAAGGTTGGTTAATCCTGGTTGCCTCAGACGCAGAGGACAGGAAGAGACAGAATAAACACTTGTTTGGACTAGATGTTTTAGTCTAAACAAGCACAAATTAATTATGAACCAAAGAAAGACTCAAACCTTTACTACATATTGTTGACCAGAGGCTACAGAAAGTCTTTTGACCTTCCCATTGGCAAACAGTTTGCTTTTTAATCATTGTTTATCTGATGTATTGTGATTATTATGCATTTATAGGCAACTGAAGATATACATTTTATGTACTGCTATTTTACTGAATAAATCCATTTTTAAGATACTTTATACTTTTTAATCCACTAGATTTATTTGAGAGCTGGTTACTCTTCAGATTAAAAGTTTACACAGAATAGTAGTTTGTTATTATACATTGTTAAGGGATAAACTTATATAAAGTACCAAATTACCTCCATGCTGATCGGCTACAACATTAAAACTAATGCTATAGTAATAAGAATCAGATAATGTAGTATTTTAACCTACTGTTACTTCAATAAAATATCTGAATATAGGTCTGAAGGATAAGTGAGGGAGGATGATCATTCTTTAGATTATCAGAAGGCCCCAATGACTTCACACTCCAGCAATAAACCAGGAGGCAGATTGCAGATACAAATTGACCTGATGAAAATAAAATCAATTATGTATTATGTAGTTATGCAAAGCTGCAGTTACCTGGTGTAACTAATTCTACACAAACGTTATTCTTTGTGGTCGTGATGCCACCCGGTGGCCACCGGAGGGCACAACAGCCTCTTCATGCTCCACTGAAGACCTGAACCAGCCAATGTTACCTCTATTACTCTGCTCCATGTAGCTCTGTTACAATGACATTTATATATACATATATATATATACATATATATATATATATATATATATGTATATATATATATACACAATATATATATATATATATATACACAATATATATATATACATATATACAGAAGAATATAATAAATAAAAAACACCAGCCTCCCCACCAGACATAAACTAAAGACAGAGATACACAGAGGTGGAAGAAGTATTTTCTCACTTAAGTAAAAGAAGCAAAACTACAGTGTAGAAATACTCTGTTACTACTCTGTTACAAATGAAAGTCAGAGAGTAAAAGTGCAAAAGTATTGGCATCAAAATATACCTAAAGTACAAAAAAGTAGGCTAGTCATCATGCAAAATGGTCCAGAATGATTTATTTTACATTGAAATATCACTATTGATGCATTCATGTGTCCATCATTTTCTACCATATTATTTAATATTTTTAAGGATGCTTTTCTAAACCTTTTCCTCTGCTACATAGATAATAACAGAAGCAATAGTAGTAATAATAATAATAAAAAGTGCATTTTAACTGAGGTCAATGGAAGCTGCACCCCCACACAAACCTTTTTGATTTAATCTAATTGAATCCCTGAAAGGCGGAGACATGTGGGCAGCAGTTGGAGCTAATCTGTTGCCTTAAACTTGATAAAATTCACATCATGTTCAACATTCTTTGAGAGTTTCCGTACTTTTCTTTTGACCTCGTCTTTTAACTCATCATCGTCTCACCAGACTTCACGGCAGACATCTTCCCTCGTTATCTAATTGCACAAAAGCTAGCGGCTAAATCTGACATTGACTTTTGTGGTTTTGAGTGAAATGTCAAAAGCTATTAGAGGATTGACTGAGTTCAGCCTCTAGCCATTAGCATGGGCGTAGATGGGATTGATTTCTTCTTGTTGCCCCTTTTCTCTCTGTATTGGTTTATTGTTAATTTTATATTTATTTCAATATGTTGTAATATTTTAGGTTATTCAGTTTGCTGAGTAACTATTTAGTTTACGTATACCGATAGACCTATAGCCTACTAGAGGGATAAACTAGAGTTAGTGCTGTGTTGTTTTTGTTTTTTTAGGAGGAAATTAGCTTTAATATTAAGTACAATAGCCTCATTAAATGGAAATATTTATGTTTGATATCGTCATAATACTAGTAGAGAGATAGAGAGACTGAATATAGCTCAGAATTCACAACAGGCATTGCATAATTGAATATCCAACACAGTCTAACTGTTGATTTCTGTACATGGACGTGAATTTTCCCTTTTTTCCTGTGATGTCCAGCAACGACTGTATTTCAGTTGGAAGTGAACAGTTTAGTAAAATTAAAAAACACTTAAAAAAAATAATGATTGAGGATTATTGTGATCCATCAAAGTGCAACCAGTGAGGGTACGCACTTTTATTTTTGATAACATTTTCCTCATATTTTTTGTTATTATTACAGCCTTAAATGTTATGTTATGATTTATTTCAGTTATGTTTTACTTGAAAAATAATGCTTAATTTCTGAACTGAACAAAATACCACAGGAGCTGTGTAACAAATACATATACAATAAATATTAGGCAAACGATATTTAGTATTTTTAAAAAGAGAGAAGGAGAGAAACAAACGGACTAAACCAAAAACAGCCCCAGTGAGCCTTTAAATGAGCAGGAAGAAGGTAAATGATGCTCTGTTCCTTACATGAGGAGGAGAGATGGTTATTACACTTTCTTCTTCTTCTCTTACATGCTGGGCATTTTTGTGGTTGTCATGGCAACCACATGCATTTAAGTCAGAAGAGCTGTTCTGAGAGAGGTCGTGAAAATAAGATTGAGCATTTTGGAGAGTGATGGTTCCATGTTTCATTTTTATTTTTCCCATCAGGAGACTCAGAGACAGAGATAGATGTTTTTTAGGGTTTCGTCATCCTGACAGACAGACAGACAGACAGAGAGACAGACTCTACTCTTATTGAGATTGATTATGTTTTCTTCACCTTCAGCATGTGGATTTTATATATCCTGCAGCATATGGATTAACTATTCTGCATCATGAGGACTTTGCTTAGAATACGTCTGTCCTTCTATTTACTGGTTTTGGTACTTTTACTGTCTTTATTTTGTGTTGTACATTAGTTTCAATGTTTAAATGATGAGCAGCAGCAGGCGGTGCAACCCAACTGCATATATCATCTATTTATAGAAAGGTCCATATGTACGCAATTTGTGAGCATCGCTGAAGTGCTGTTGAAACAGACCAGTGCTCTCTTTTCCTGATTATTTTATATGCTAATCCCATAACACTGGGACTACATACTTCCTCCACTCACCTACAATGTGTGTGTGTGTGTGTGTGTGTGTGTGTGTGTAAAATAAAAGATAAATTAATAAAATAAACTTAATAATAAAGTTAATAAAACTTAACAAACACTGAGTCTTGAATCTTCTAAAGCCACAAGATGATCAAAGTTGAGCAGAGAAGATATTCCTGGTTACCAGGAGTGCGAGGTCAACAGAAAGAGGTCAGTTCTACAGAGAAAGGAGAAGAAATGAGATAATCAAAGACTCAAATAGATTTAATGAGTGGAAGAAATAAATGGAGTGATGCCGATAGGAAATGTAGCGCAAGTAAAAAGTTAGTAAAAGTATTTCTCCCACTGCAATAATGGCAACTTTAGACCTTTGCAGCCCTTTTACGTTTATTGTGTTACTTTATTGTGTATAGAGTAAAATTTCAGAGGCACATAATCTACTTTTTACACCACCACATTAATTTGGCAGCAATCGATACGAGATACTTTATAGGTTGTTTTATACCAGTTTATAAAATAAAACATTCTCAAAGATTAAAATCTGTTAAAAAATGTAAAAAATGAAAATGCTACTTACATGTTAATGTATCAGCGATCATAATAACATGTTGTAATTTGTTTGGGAGTTTTATATATGTATAATATGTTAAAGGAGTATTTTTACACTGTAATATTGCTACTAATTTAAAGAAAGGGAACTGTTATATATTCCAGCACCAAAATGCAACATAAGGTTTATGCATCTATGTGTATTTGCTCAGCTCTGACCAAACTAGTCTGAGCTCTGAAGTGTGTGTGTGTGTGTGGGTGTGAAACAGCAGGATAGCGTGCATGTGTACATTTGTCACCACTTCCAAGAATACATTAACAATTGTTCAAAGGGACACCGCAGCAGGTGTGTTGTCTATATACGCACAGTATGTATGTGTCCTTTTTATGTTAAGAATGTAGGCTATTATAACATGTGTTATAGCTGACGACTGTGTGTGTGTGTGTGTGTGTAGTAGTGGAAGTGTGGAGAGTGTGAGGCTGAATTCAGGAGTGAGGTCAAGTGTGTGAGCAAGAGGGAGGAGGGAGGATAGAGAGAGAGAGAGAGAGAGAGAGAGAGAGAGAGAGAGAGAGAGAGAGAGAGAGAGAGAGAGGATAGTGTGTTTTTTCTCACAGTCTGTCAGAGTCTGGTGGCGGTCGGGAGGGAAAACGCTAAAAGACGCCTGATTGAGGCCGGAGCCTTTTAGTCAAGTATGATGCCGACTTAAGAGGGGAGTGAAGCCCAGAGATGCTGAGGGGATACCGTTAGCCTCCAACGCTGTTTTGTCCCAAACTCCTGAATACACACCGGGTCGTGATGGGGACTGTGAGTGAGCTTTGTGCCTCCAGCTTCCAGGCATTTCTCTGCCCTACGGTGCGACCGGGGGCACCTGCTGCAGCCGCAGGTGAGTGTTTTTAATACACTTAAAAAATAGAAATATGTTACCTATTGTCTCTGAGCACTGTCTGCCTTGATAAGTAAACTTATAATTTTCTTTCATTTTCTCAGTTTTAAAGTGCTTTACAAATAATTTCGCCATTATTGTTATTATCACGTCTTTTCTGGTTAGACGTTGCTTTTGAGGGACTCTTGAAAGCCTAGAAATAACAAACAAAACATGCAGAGCAAGACTGGCACTAAGTGCTATCAGTGTTCAGTTGCCTTGGTGATTTTCTGTTAGGTTATCAAGACACAGAGCACTCTGTATGTGTGTGTGTGTGTGTGTGTGTGTGTGTGTGTGTGTGTGTGTGTAGGTGTGTGTGTGCGCCATGCTGTGTTTCTGACATTTCTGTGTTCATCTACACACGAGTCAGACAAACTGTGTGTGTGTGTGATGGTGGGCTTGATTTGAGAACATGACGCATAGCCTCTGGTCCAGGATCCTGCTCTCCAGTGGGTGCTCGAGTGACATAATCTCCATCGCTGCCCACTGGTCTCCCTCTGTGCAGGTGCTTTCTCTCTGTGTCAATGTGCTCATTCAGAAGCCATTCTTACTCAATGAAAGCAGCCCCGGTGATCACACAGGTTCTTTCCACACGTTGTATATCTATTATGAGCTCTAGCTGGACTTTCCCTTCTGTTTTTATTGTGATTTTTTTCTGCTTCATTATTTCTGTGTTACATCTCAAGACCTCTGCTACTGTGATGAGTTCACACATAAACCCTTCAACTGTGAAACAGATTTACTCAACAAGTTGTATTATATCTTCCTTTGTGTCTATGTTATTTTATTAGTATTATTAGTATACTTGTATTTTAGCATCTGTCTTACTTTCTCTACTTTCCTCTTTTTATTCTTTCATTCATTTTGTCTTTTTTATTCATTTTTCTTTCCCCCATACAATCATACACATAAACAAGTGTGTCATATCTTATGGATTTCCCCTAAAACATGATTTACATTCATAATCACTGAAGAGTTGGATCATTTTCTCACTCGTCTTGCAGATAGTTTGGGTTTAACTTCGTCCAAATTTTGTGAGAGATTTGTGTCTCCATCTCAAATTCTCTTTCCATGAACAGCGTCCCTGTTACTCTGGATAATCCACAGACCTCACTGTCAACTGTTCAACTATTTATACCAAAATAAAAAACCATGTCTGTTGTATTTGGGTGAGCTGACCCTTTAAAAGACTAAAATGCAGCAGTTCTTCTTCCCCACCCGTCCTCAGCATATCCTGATTTTGGTGTGTCCAAACTCTGAATAAAGCACTGATTCAAGCGCACAGCTGCAATCCTTTCCTCTATCCTTCCCTACATCCTCTCCTCTCCCTTCCTCTTTCCCTCACACACCGATCGTCTGATATCAAATTCTTCCCTCTTCACACTCATTTATATAAATATGTCTGTCTTCTTCAGCAGGTGGGAAGTTGTTTTCTTTGTTACTTGTTGAGTTGTGTTTCCTCTTCCTGCTTCTAATGAATTCCTTTCACTACTTTGTACAGAACAGGGTGGAGTGCTGAAACTGGATTAAAGTGGAGCATTTACAATTATCCTTAGGCAACGATACGTTCAATCTGCTGTTGTGAGCATGCGGCTACACCCATATACAGATAGACAAACACAGATTCAAGCATGCAAACGCATTTCTCCTTTTCTCTCTACACACGTAATGGAACAGACAGACAGACAAATAGACAGATAGACAGATAAATAGATACATAGACAGCTATATAGACAGACAGACAGATGGATGGATAACTACGTGTACAGATATCAGTTTGTGTCTATCCGCTCTCTGATTGGCTGCTGCCGTTGAAGCCCCGCCCAGGCCATCCTGCCCCAACACCGGCTGTTTCTCCACAGTTGTCATTAACTGCCAGTCTAACGGTAACTGGGGAAATACAGACACATTTAGAGCTAGAAAGTTTCTTTAAAGTGTAATATTTAGCGCTGTTCTTCACACCGGCTTCGAACAACATCACAGATATGGTTTTAAAGTCGGAAGACGGAGTTGGTGAGTTGGCCTGCTTTAGTTAAATTAAACTAGCTAACCTACAAGCTAACCAGTTTAGCCAACTAACGTTAGCTAATGTAACGTCTAACGCTACGTGTAATTGAAGTGTATATACCTGCTAGTTTAACACTAATATGATTTGGCATTTAGTTTCCTCATCTGACTGTTAATGCTCTTTATAAACTGGCACAAGGGATCCATTATTATTACTCTAGATTGAGGCCAGAGCTCATGGGGGGGGGGGGGGTGTGCTTATTGTGCAGCAGTTTATATAGTTCATGTGTCTATAAATACAATCAATGCACCCATTTATCGGGTGGAAATCAGTTGGCTGGGCTACAGGCTCCTCTCTGCTCGTTTTGCCCACAACTAGTGACCAAAGTGATGGACACTGGAGGTTTGTGGAGAGACTGTAAAAAGGACTATAACTTTGATTATAAATCAGTTTCCTCACAGCTACACTAGTGTTTCCTTCTGGTAACTTGAGCCACTCTTTCAAGATGTGCTTTATGGTGAGGGAAACCTGTCCAAACAGATCACCAAATGTCATTTAAATTAACATGGAAAAAGCTTTAAAAATGGACTTCCCATACCATAAACTGTTCCAGCAAGGTAGCTGCCGTCAAGGGGGAAATATCAGAACTTCCACCAGCACAGGAAGCTTTTCTTCGCGGGTTTCCACTTAACAAAGTATCTGGTACCTTATTTTGAAGCATTATAATACCGATAGTCCATTTAGATTGTTCCTCACCTGACAGATACTTTACCACCCTGAGAGACCAGCTCAAGTTTTCATAACTGTTGCTTACAAGGATGTTTTTTTTTCAAGGCACAGTTTGTTCTCCCTGTCTGCTTGGATTTGTTTCTGCATCCTTACTGGACTTTGGAGCCTTACGGCTGTGTGAATGCAAAATCAGTCACCAGGGGAGTTTACCATAACCACGGGAACTTTGTTGAGCTTGTTATCCTCGGGGGCCAGGGAACGTTGAAACGCACAATTATCGCCTTGTGAACATTGAAATGGACATTTTTGGCCGTGTGAACTGCAAGAGGCCGATCATTGCCTCGGGTCCTGGGTCAGCTGCAGTCTCCTGTGGATGAAATAATGAGACCAACAAAGGAGGGAGCTGTTGTTGTTGGTGTTGTGTGACGTTTTCTATGAGCAACCACATGTGATAAGCAGAAGAGAATGACATATTTAATTCTACCAGAACAGAGAGCTCTTGTTTAGTGGTTTGTTATTTCTTGCATTTTGATTGTTGCTGGTGTCCAGATGTGTGCACCCTCTGTGGCTCTCTACCTTCTCTCTCTCTGGGACACCAGTGTCCACGTGGGGGAGCCTGTTGTTTGATACTGAGTGAAGAAGGGAGGAGTCAAGATGGACAGAGGGAGGTGGGGGAGAGAGAGATGGGAGTTCAAGGGTTTTCCCCTCAGACACACACACACACTTGTCCTCATCTTCATTTAGCTGCCGGCCTGCTCTCCTCCTTTCCCCTCTGCTGGAATGAGGCCCTGAGGATTAGGAAGCAGGGAGGCTTGACTAGAGGACCACAGGATTGGGATTGGGATCATTGGAGGGCTCGGGCAGGACTGGATTATTTTTGAAAATACCAGATTGGACTGCAGGCTGTGTACAGTGTCCACAGGCTGTTTTGTACTGGGAATAGTGCATCTTTTTCTACTGGGACCATTGAGACCTGTGGTGAAGCTACTTAGCAGCAGATAGACGCTTTCTCTGGTATGAACCTCAGGATTATGACACAAATGTGTAGGTGTTCAGCGCGTCATCATGACTTCTGCATCAGAGCTACTTTCAAGAAATCTGAATGAGTTTGTGTGTGCGTGTGTGTGTTGTCACGTCTTCCTCAGAAAGTCTCAAGAAACAGAACATACGTGTGGCTTGAGTTGTTTTTCACGTCATTGTGTCTTCAGAGGATGTGATGTGTTGCATAACTTAACAAACAATAGAGTGGAAGAAGAAGGAAAGAGAGTGAGCTTTAGTCCTGAATATGTTGTCCACAGCAGCTGGTCATCAGCAGCATTGCTACTTCAAGGTGTCCCATTACTAGTCAACACAAACGGACACTCGCTGACCTCCAGACTATGCAGAGCAGCTGGTGGAAGACATGTTGTTATTTACGTGTGTGTGTGTGTGTGTGTGTGTGTGCGTGTGTTTGTTTGTGTTTGCGAGGAGGATGAATGACACGGCAGAGTTTCGTTAGTCTTATTTCCTCTCTCCAAATTAAAAGCCATAGAGAGGAAGTGAGTGTGAATGTCAGTTTCACTGCCTCTCTCCGCTCACAATGCTGCGTTATTCTCGTCCTCCGGGTTATAATAAGAGCTGTGGGTTATGTGTACGTGATGAGCGAGTGCGTCACTGTCTGTGTCCAGTATGTAAATAATATCACTATCCGAGGCTGTGGCGCCTGTCATGCCACTTAATTTGCCTTTACAGTGAGAGGTGTCTGTCCTGACAGTTTGAAGGGTTTACGATATGAATCATTTCTACATTTGTACTGTACAACTGAAACTTGTAGTCGATTAATTTACTAGTTGATTGATATTTATCTGCAACAGTTTATATTATCAGTTAAACCTTGGATAAACGTTTGGGTTTTCTTCGGTGGAAAAACAAACATTTTGTCAACTTGGCCTATTTTATTACATTTTATAGACCAAATGATTATTAATTGATTAATCAAGAAATGAGATAAGATAAGCCTTTATTGATGCCCAGCACAAGAATACGCTGTCTACTCCATCTGCTGAAGAAGACTGTGACATGTGGTTGAAAGCTCTGTCGAAACCTAATAAGTTGACCTTGAGTCAGGATTTCTTTTGTCCAACGTGCATCTTAAAGTGCCAAATGCTGTAATTAAGTGCCTCAAATGTCCCTATCGTTAAACAGACTTCTGTTTGTGAAGTTGTAAAAACATGTTAAAGTTCCTTGCAGTTTTTAATGGTTAGACATTGAAGGCCAATAACTCGACATGTCCTCTGTGCCTCCTTGTTACTCCGTATAATTTAGAACAGCAGTTAAAGTTGACAGGGCAGAGGTGTGATGTGTGAAACATGCAATACGCCGATCAGCCCAATAACTCCACGTGCTGCATTCCCTCTTTTACTGCTGGAATGTAATCTTCCTCTTTCCTTTTTTCTTCTTCAGAAAAGCCACAAGTCGGTGACTAACAGAGCCACGTTCACCTTATCGTTCCTCTGCAGATCTCATGCTCAGGAACTTCTGCTCTATCAGAGTACACACTTGTTCATGCACAGTTAAGGGTGTGTATTAAATATGAGGCGGCATGGAAATTTGAGCTTAACAAGTACAGTAAGATGTCAAGTCTAATTTAGCCTTTTCAAACCACGTTTCTTCTGTTTAGTATATGTTTGCTAAACAGCCTGAACCAGGCTAAATTCTGGTGTGTGTGTTTGTGTGTACACAGTACATCTAGCCTCGTGTGTGTGTGTGTGTGTGTGTGTGTGTGTGTGTGTGTGTGTGTGTGTATATGATGGTTGTATTTGAGTGCTGTCTGTCTGTCTCTCCTCAGTGCCCGATGACCTCAGTCCAGAGGAGAGACAGGAGGTGGAAAGCATCCGCTGCAGAAAACAAGAGCTGCTGCAGGACATACAAGTAATAACACACTCTCCACTCCCTTTACACCTTTCATTTATTTATTCAGTGTGTTCAACCTTCATCTGGAGTTCCAGCTTCGTGGCCGTGTTTCTGTTTTCTGTCCTCAGTTAGCACCGCTTGGACTAAATGCTTTCTCAACAGGGCGGCCGTGAAAGGGGAGTTTGTTTTTGTCCCGTCTGTGAAACCCTGCGGCTGTCTGGACTGTTGATCTCTTTCTCTTTAACAGTTCTTTAAAGGACAGGAACAGGGAATTTTGTTCCAAAAACACCCATTTTGGAAGATATCCACCTGATTTGTCTGAAGCCTCGTATCGACCTCAGTTAAAAGTTTCAATACTAAGACGTACTTGAAAAGTTGTAAATCTATCCTTTAACCATTTTGATTATTTCAGAGAAGTGCTAAATCACACAGTGCATTGTTTGCTTTTCAATTTGTATTTCTTTGTCTGACTGTCGCATTGTTCAGGTAGTCCTTTCTTGTGTGTGTGTGTGTGTGTGGGTGTGGGTGTGGGTGGAGGGGGTTGTATAGGCGTAGGACCACTAGAGCGTTACTGTACGCATTCAAGACAGATGATCCTCTTTGTGTGGTGTGCATGTGTACGAGAGGGGTGGACCACGTGTACATGTGTATGTGTCCTCCAGCTCTCTCTTTCTCTGCCTGGAGGGACAGTTTGACCCGCTGCCTCAGTCCCCATTAACCCTTAAATAAATTAGCGGGATTGTCTGTATCAGCTCTTTATCTGGCAAATGTGTTTTGCCAGATTAGGGGGGAATTAGCTAATTGTAGTTAGCTGAAAGTTGATGACCTTTCACCCAGCCAGCATCTCATAAGCATGTGACCCTTTGTCCAAGTCTCCTTTGTCCAAGTCTCCTTCTCCAAGTGTTGGATTGAATCATCATAAATATCTGTCGATATATTTTCATTACAGCTGAGACAGTTTGACAATACAGGAAAATCAAACGTGAACTATTTTAATAAGTAATTAATAACCAAGAAAATATGATGCGTGTTTGCTTGATACACGACTTACAGATAACGTTTTTATTTAAATTCTTGCTGACTAAGTTTCATCTAATCAATTGGTTTACTGATCATGTCAGCACTAGCACAGTTAATTCAGAGTATAATTAGTATTTTATCTCTGTGTTTTTACTTATGCAGCTGCACACTGAGGGACATAAAGATATAAGATAAACATCTGTTATATTTTTAAATACCAGATGTCTTCATTCCCTACCAAACAAAAAGATTCAATAAAGGATTTAGAACAGGATTCATTCGGTAAAATTCTATGAAAACCTCATCACTGGTCTACAGTCAGCAAGGAGAGCATCTAAAAGTCACACACACACACACACACACAGGCGAACACACGCGGCCTCAGGGCAGCAACACTGTGCGACTAGATTGATGGAGTTTATTACCGAGGTCGACTCTCGTTCTCTCCTCTAAGCCCCGCCTTGTGTTGCCCTGGGGGGGAGGCTGATGGGTAATGAGCCGTGAAATATTCCAGTAATGGAGACGGAGGATGCTGTAACCATAGAAACGCACATGTAGGAATCCAGGCAAGTGAACTTATTTACCTTGTTCGCCTGGTTTTCACACCCATTACATCACTACACGCACACACACACACATTGAGAGTTGGAGATGCTTGTAGCTCTAATCCGAGCCTCGTCTGCTTTTCTCTTTTTTCTATAATTATCTCAATTCATGATCTTTTCTGCTGAGCTCAGTGTTTCTCCATCTGTTGCTTTCCTCCCGTAACCTCTGAGCTCTAAGTCTTTGATCCGGCATATTCCCGCCTCCCCACCAGTGTGACACTCAAGCAGCCCGGGGGGGTGTGTGGGTAGGCCGTCTGATGAATCTGGGTCAACACAGGGGAGAGGAGGAGCTGGGAGACGGACACACTCTGACCCCAGAACAGGTGCTACAGATCCCAGAGAGGGTTTTCTGCAGAGGGCGGTCTGTGAGAGAGTGCATCACATCTGTACTTTTAGTCTTTCTGGGTCATCTCTTCTGTAAGAAGTGTCTGGATGTGTAGCCGGAACAGACAAAAGAAAAGTACCTCCACAGGTTAATGTGAAACATCACATGTATTGTTGTGTTCTCTCTCTCTCTCTCTCTCTCTCTCTGTGCTGTCAGAGGCTGAAGGATGAGATAGCAGATGTGACCAATGAGATTGAAAGCCTGGGTCTGACTGAAGAGAGGTAAAGTATCTCTCAACCATTCTCTCTTTGTGCGTGGGCAGCTGTGGTCCACTCAGCCTTTGTTTGAGTGGAAAGACAGAAAGATCTGCTTTACACTCATAACACAGTCCACTGTTTTAGGGCTGCAACTAGAGACTGTTTACATTATTGAGTATTCTGTCGAATACTTTGCCTAATGATAGTTTAACGCCATAAAATGTTAGAAAATAGGAAAATCTCTTTTCCCCAGAGCCCAATGTGAAGTCTTCAAATTGCTTATTTTGTCTGACCAACAGTTCAGAACCAAAATATATTCAGTTGTAAATATTCCAAACGCAAGGTCCACTTACCCGACTATTCTGGGAGCTTTCAACCGTATTGGAAGCTTCCCCTTCTTCAGCTGAAGAGGGCTTTAGGAAAAGTGCCCCCGAGGTAGAGAATAAACATCCTCGCACAAAGATATTCTGTTTGCTATGAAGAAAAACAGAGAAAAGCAACAAAGCCTCACACGTGAGAAGCTGAAACTACTGAATGTTTCTCCTGATAAAGCCATGAACTACGTTTCTGTTCTTTTTAATTGGTTTCAGGAAAAGCATGCAGAGGAACAAACAGATGGCCATGGGCCGAAAGAAGTTCAACATGGACCCCAAGAAGGTGAGAACAAACAAGGCTCTTCCTTCTTCATGTAACACATAAGTGTTGAGCTGCCAACTAACCATTATTTTCTTGTCTGTTAATGTCGGGATTGTTTTTACTTGTTATTGGGATCTTTTGAAGAAGTTAATATCCGGTGTGTTTGTCATTTCAGTGAATGATGTTCAGAGTTCAGCGTTGTTTCTGACTTTCAGGGGATTCGCTTCTTGATTGACAGCTCCCTGCTGAAAAACACCAGCGATGACATCGCCCAGTTTCTCTACAAGGGCGAAGGGCTCAATAAGACCGCTATCGGTGACTACTTAGGGGAGAGGTGAGCGATACTAATGACGTTCTCTCCAACTGGTCATTTCTCAGAGCAGACATTTTGATACGTCATAGTGCGACAGAGCCATCGTGCTTTTCCAGAGGTGACATGTTCAAAATGATGATTAATGATAACGGACCCAGACGACCCATTCCTTTGTGTGTGTGTGTGTGTCGTGCAGAGATGACTTCAACATCGAGGTTCTGCACGCCTTCCTGGTGTTGCACGAGTTTTCGGACCTGAACCTGGTTCAGGCTCTCAGGCAGTTCCTGTGGAGCTTCCGGCTGCCCGGTGAGGCTCAGAAGATCGACCGCATGATGGAGGCGTTCGCCCTGCGGTACTGTCGCTGTAACCCCGGAGTGTTTCAGAGCACAGGTGTGTTCAGAAGAGGGGGAGTTTATCGTGTCAAAAATCTAAATGATTGAAATCAGCTAATAGTACTGAGAATCATACAATTATTAAAACACACACACTCTGTCTTCTTCTACAGATACCTGTTACGTGTTGTCGTTCGCTGTGATCATGTTGAACACCAGTCTACACAACCCCAACGTGAAGGACAAACCCTCCGTTCAGAGGTTCACCGCGATGAACAGAGGCATCAACGACGGGGGAGACCTCCCGGAGGAGCTACTCAGAGTGAGATACGCTTATTGTCGTTACACACACAAAAGTACTACGACAGAAACACAGCGGTTTGATTTGCTTTGAGGAATTGTTCATGTCACACTGTGATTCCAGTTGATTTTAAGTCTAGTTCTGGTAAATGAAATGTCTAAAAAAACTATTTAACATGACAAATGTCGCATGAAAAAGTAGCTGTATCTTTATTTAAGAGCTGTATTTAAATAACACCAAAGTATCAGCATTAAAATAAACTTAATGTACTGAAAGTGTGAAGGCAGTTACTGCTGAGAGACTTAACACATCAAAACATCATCATTAGTAACTGATTATATTTAGTATTCATAATCTGAAATTGCAAAGTAAGTAAAGCTGTAAAAAATACATGAAGTGGAATGAAAAGTACAATATCTGGCCCTGAAATGTAGTGGAGTAGATGTACAAAGTAGCACATAAAATGAAAAATACTCAAGGAAAGAACAAGTACTTGAGTAAATGTACTTTGTCTCCCGTCTGTGTAGAACCTGCACGACAGCATCAAGAACGAACCCTTTAAGATCCCCGAGGACGACGGGAACGACCTCACACACACCTTCTTCAACCCCGACAGAGAGGGATGGCTGCTGAAACTCGGTGCGTGCATCCAAGTGGTGTGAAAGTCACTGAACAGAAATATAAAGGCAATGCTTTGATTGTTTCAGGAGGTGAATTTAAAGATTGAAGATTTTATCTATGCTCATAAATAGTTTTTTTGTTTTTTTTTGTTTTTTTTTAAATACTGTACTCGCACAGATTTAGCTAGATTCGTGACCAGAATTTGAGAGAATTAACATTCGTTAACAGAATGGGAGCAAAAACAAGTGTTGCATTTGTGGTTTTGTTCATTTCATTTAACTCCTCCAGCATTGGTCCCGGTGTGTTAGTCACTGTGAGCTGGAAGGCCCTCTAGTGGACTATGTTTGTAACAGCACCTTCAACATGAGGAGGACAGACTGGTGTTGGAAGTTTTGTTCAATTCTTTTGTTGACGTTGTTCTTGTTTGTTTGTGTTTCATGGGTTGTGACTCCAGGAGGTATGTACCCCTAAACTCTGAGCTTTAATGCACTGCTTTGCTTCTGAACTACCCCCCACTGGCTGTCTGTGCTTTCGCCCTCACATCACAACTTGATCAGCTTGTATGCTGTTCAGAAGTAGTTTCACATCTCTTTCTATCTGCTGGCACCTGACCCACGTTTTAACCTCTGCTTCCATCTCTGCGCTCAGCAGCCTCTGTATGTAACCTGCTGATTTGTGCTTCAGAGTCGTCAAATGACGTCCGTCTTTGTGCTCCGACCACTTAAGTCTTGTGTCCTTACTGAAGTCGTAGCTCACCCGTAGTCTCTCCTCAGGTGGACGAGTGAAGACCTGGAAGAGACGCTGGTTCATTCTCACAGATAACTGCCTCTACTACTTTGAATACACCACTGTAAGTAATAACAGAGCAGAGGTATCCGATAAATAATGCATGTTGCCTCAAGTCAGTACTTAGACGTATTGTGTGTCTCTGCTGTTTTCAAGGACAAAGAACCCAGAGGAATTATTCCACTGGAAAATCTGAATATCAGAGAAGTCGATGACTCCAAGAAACCGGTGAACTCTTTATTCTCTCTTCTCTTTCTGACACATTCTGGGATGTAATTGTACAATTTATTTTTCTTATCACGTGAGAAAAGAGGGATGGAAATGGCAGATCTTGATAAATATAAAACTGTATGCAAAGATGCAAAAAAGCTGCTGACTAGATGCAAAAAGTAGTGTAAATATAAACAAAGTTCAAATTAAGCAGTAAATTGTTGTCTTTAATATGTCGCCTCTATCCCCTATTAAATGCCGATACACTCTATGTATCTTGCACCTATTGTGGTTGGATATCCATTAGTTCTTTAATTCTTTGTTTCCCTCTTTAAAACATGTCCAGTGTTAACCAAGCAGCATTTCACCAAGAATTGTTTAAATATTTTAATAATTTGTTTCCTGTAAATCTCCTGGCGCTTCTTGCTGGTTGTGCTTCCCTCACAGAACTGCTTCGAGCTCTTCATCTCGGACCACAGAGATCAGGTGATCAAAGCCTGCAAGACGGAGGCAGACGGACGCGTCGTCGAGGGAAATCACACTTTTTACAGAATCTCCGCCCCGACCGCCGAGGAGAAGGACGAGTGGATCAACAGCATCAAGTGAGCCACTTTTTAAACCCTCTCCTACAGGTGATCGGTGTGAAGTCTCCTTATCTAACCATCCTCCTTCCTCCACCTGCAGAGCCGCCATCAGCAAAGACCCGTTCTACGAGATGCTGGCTGCTCGGAAGAAGAAGGTCTCGTCTCTGAAGGGTCTGTAGAGCCGCTGAGGATTCATCGGGGAAAGGTTTCGACTGAATGCAGCCGAGTGGAAGTGGACCCGATTCTTCAGTGACGCTTGGACCTGACAGAGGATTCGGCTCTTAAAGAAGCTCTTCCTTTGTCACATTTTGAACCGACGCACCTTCAGTACCGACGGCTCGTTCTCTGCAGGTTTTGCCCTTTTTGTTTAAAGTGTACTTTCCCACCTAGAGACCTTTTTGAACACTCTACTTCCCTCTGGTTAGCACTCCCACTCCTCCTACAATCTGCTGTGTCTGATTCCCCTCAGAGCCACGTCATTCCGACCGTTTGCTCTGCTGTGGTACAAAGAGTCTCTACAGGAGACATTTCCAGTCAGAATTAACTCCAACACTAGGTGAGAGAAAGACGGCTGCTGATGTTTGATAAAAAAACCTTTCTACACCTTTTTGAAAGACGCGTTACAACAGGAGGAGGATGGGAACAGCTGATGAATGAATCACGTCGTACATTCATGTGATTCAGAAAACACTGAACGCTGGACTTTATGGTTTGATTAAAAAAAAAAAAAAAAAAAAAAAAAAAGCTCTTTTCTAAGCCTGCTTTCTTACTGCTGTTGGTCTCGTCAAAGCGCGGTTAATGAAAATGAAGGCGATGCCTAAATATTTATTTATCCAGATTTCTTGTAATTTATTGTTTTGAGTTCTGTCTCATTAAACGTTTGCAAACCAACATTTAACTCTGACTTTTATTCCAAACCAGGACCGGAAAATACTTTGTTACTGTAATTAAGTAATAAAATGATTTGCTTCGTTTCATTAAGTACGTTAGATTTAACACTGTTAGTCATATTGACTTCTTTCCTTTTCACTCATACCTGTTTTTAAAATCAAATCTGGATGCTTGTGCAACATTTGGAAGATGCGGCGAGTTTCTATAAAGACTTGTAATCAGATATAAAAGTGCTCATCTAGTGTGACTGTGCAGCGACAGCAGCTCAACAATCATAAGATGCAGTTACTTCCCGCTTTGCTTATCTGATCACCTCACATGTAGGGATCACGTCGTCGTCAAAGGCAGCGCCGGCAGATTCCTGGCAAATATTTGACCCTCTACGACATCAGAGGAACGTGGATGTATTTAACAAGCAGACGTGTTGCAACCCATAAATCATTTCAGTGTAAACATTCCTGAGATCAGAGGTGTCACTCAAAAGACAAACTTATTGTCCTTTAAGCGATTGCTTCCTTAGTCTTTAAATATTTGAACATTTCAAGATGCAGGGTCTTTTTTTGTTTTTTTGAAATAGTTCAAAATCAGATTTGTAAACCAAATATTTAACTTTTCTAAAAACATGTTAATATCTGTTTCAGTTACTCGCCTACTTTTAAGTATTGCTTAAACCTGCAATAACTGAGCTTTTGGTCACAGCGGAAACAAACGGCGACATATCACCGTTAAGGCGAACTTTCTATATACGTCCAGCAGTTATTGATGGGGTTGTTTCTGGACACCTGATGAATGTCCAATATTAACTCTTTGAGCTCTGTTTTGGTCTCCAACTCCTGCTAAATGCTCCACTACGTTCACCAGACATCTGCTGGGTTTAGTGGAACTTTTATCAATGGTTGCGCTCTCCTTTTAACCTTTTAAAATAAAGCCTTGTCTTCATATATTGCAACAACGATTGAGGGTAAAAAAATCAGCCACTGCACCAAAGGTTCACACATTTGACGTCGTCGTAAAAACTCTCCACATCCTTTAATATACAAAGATAATAACAGACTGTACAGGTTAGCTCCGATTGCTGCTGTAAACTCTGATAAACGTATTAAGGCTCCTCAACGGACTGAGATTCTTCACAACAGCTTCTATTACTATCGAATACAGGCAGCATGTACTTGGATGTCTGTGCAGTAGAAGTAGAAGTAATAGTTATTGAAATGCATGTAGCAAAACAAAATAACTCAAGTGAAATGACATCGGGTGTTAAAACGGACAGTTGAACAGGTAAACCAGAGCTAAACAAACATCGTGTGTGTGTGTGAGAGAGGAAATCACTTCCTGGACACACGGAGGGTTAAAGCGGAGGAGAGGCTGGAGACTCCCAGCATGCCGGTGGTGAAGTATCCCGTCCGCAGAAGCAGACCGACCTCCGACCTCCAACACCGAAGAAAACCAAAGACCTCCTGCTCAAAACACAAATGGAGAAACACTTCAAGTTTTACAACTTTATATTTGTTACCTATATTATGACTATTTATGTCTTCGTATTATACTCTTGACTTTTTATCAGTCACAACACCGTAACTATATCACTGCTTATCCGGTTAGTTCAATGTGTGAGAGCACAGTGGGAAACAGCTTCACCACTAGAGGGCGGGCAGCTCCATCCGGACGAGGGTTCAACATCAGCTGCATCTGAACCTTACTGGCCCCTCAGAAGAGACTGCTCAACGTTTCTGGAGAGACTCCAACCTGTTTGGAGTTTCTAACAATAGACCGCCTGTGCTGCCGATAAGCACCGCGTGTTTTTTTTAATCCTGTTAACCGACAAAGCTATTGTTGGAGGGCGTTTTGTTTTTTCCTTTGTCAGGAATACAAAATGAGATAAGCAGTAAACACCGATAACACAGACGAGTAAACCGTCTGCTCTTCAAACCTAAAAGACAACATTCAGACAGTCACTGGTTATTTTATGTTTTTCATAAATGTCTCCAAAAGAGTGATCCAAAAATATAGGAATTAATGAAATTATCAGACAAAATAAAACATGTTTGTTCAATTATTTCCTTTCTAATTTAAAAGCCTGAACAGGAGCGGTGGTTGCAATTCTTACTTCTTATAAAACATTTGTATCTATATTTCACCTACTAAGTAAATAAAAGTAACAAACATGCCGCTAAGGTGCTGTGTCAAATAGTTTGTCCGTGAACTGGATTTACATTACAGACTAGTAATAGTTGTCTAAATGCTGTGCATGTGTTGTCAAATTGGTGAAAGATGTGCACCTTAATTTGCAATAAGTTGACCTCAGGGCCACCGTACAAAACTTTGAAATAAGTAGATATACTCTGGTGCCCTGTAGGATGAAAATGAAGAATATTCAGAAATTAAATTAAGCTTTAAAAGAGAATCCCTGTGCTTCTACGTGATGAGTTGTTTCTTCGGTAACATTTGTGATCAAATGTCGCAGCCGTTTGTGTTTGAAACTCACCGTCTTTGTATCATTTGACCCTAAAATAACCTTTTTCTGTCGAAAAATGTTTTTGCAGTTCAACAAGATTTTTTTAGCCAGAGGGTCACGAGGACGCTCGCAGGCCAGTGAGTTTGCATTATCCACTTCCACGTCCTCCCAACATCTTTACAACAATAGGCCTGCTTGTGCGAGGAGGTGTTCTGAAAGATGATCTGTTATGATCGTTTCTTTCTGGCAGCAGATCACTCGAGCATTTGTCGTTCGTTCCTTCCTTCCCTCCCTCCCTCCCTCCCTCCCTCCCTCCCTCCCTTGTCTTTATCCAGGTAGAGTTAGGACACCACCCATTTACTGTAATAGTCCAGCATGTGACACTTCCTGTTCTCAGAAACCAACAAAAAATATCCTCAATCTTCTGCTGTGATCTCGACAGGTTTCCTCTTGAGTTTATGAAATTAAATAACGTATCTTCCCTGTTCATATCTTTCACCGTCTCCCTGCAGTTTTAACATCTCAACCCTTTTAAATGTTGACTCAGTGTCAGGGTCGAAGAACCCTCAGACTTCCCCATGCCAAGTCCTGACAGGACTCAGAGTAACACAGACCGCACACCGTCAGATCTTTGCCATAACACGGCGCTGACTCACTTCTTGACGGGAGCGAATCAGCCGACTCGCTGTCCCCGCTCCACCTTTGGTGATTTGGGCTGCTGGGAAGATGAGGACGGGACCTGCGATTTGGGACTCGCCACAATGACTGCAGGCATTTCTCAGAAGCCACAGACTGTGTGTGTGTGTGTGTGTGTGTGCGGACCACATTAACACAAGCACTGTACTTGTAAAAGTGCAAGTACCTCAAAATTATACTTGAGTATTTCTATTTTCAGCTACTGTATACTCCACTACATGTGAAATGTTGTTAATGTGCTGTTGGAGCAGTAAGTCGGTGTGTAATCACTTCAGGTGATCAGTCAAGTTGTACTTTCTGTTTTTAATGTTTGGCTGATCTTGAGGTTTGTTTAAAGGTGCTATAATTATGTTTTTGGCAACTTGGTGGGGGAGGGGGGGATTAACTTAAAATACTCCAGTATGTTCACAGGCTAGATGCGAACTGTGTGTGTCTGCAGGTGGTGTACAGTGAGTTTTACATCTTTTTCCACTGAAAACAGCTGCGTGTGGAAACAAGGTTGACGTGAGCGGTGAGACCGAACCACAACAGTGAAGTTGTGGCTGTAAAGAAGAAACAGAGAGCTGAAAGACCCGTTGAACGTTTCAAGGAGCTGCAGGGTCTGGTGATGATTCCCTGTGGGTCGTTGATATAAAATCGTTAATTAATGCAGCTTTAAAAACTGATCTGAATTAAGTGAGAGTGTGATCACCTTGTGGGCGTCTTAGAAGAAGTTCTTGATGAGGGGAGTGACCAGCTTCACCCACAGCTTGACGTGGCGGTCCGGCCGCTCAAACGTAGAGCCGGACACCTCGCTGGACCGCTGGTACAGGATCTCCTGTTCCTGAGAGCCACACAGTTCAACACACACACAGGTGTGTAATCAGCTCAGAGTCACACAGTCATCCATCGTGCTTTCTGGCTGCGGTTAACTCACCTCCTGCAGCCGGCTCTGCAGCTCCTCGTTCTCCGTAACGATGGCTATCTGGGCCTCCAGGTCACGGTGAACCGAGCGGTAACCGAAATTAGGGGAGCCAATTAGAGTGAGGCAAGGCCGATCCTGCCCCTGGAGGTAATACCACAGACCTGTAGAAAGGAGGGGGAAAGAGGAGTGAGGAGGGATTTCTGTAACGCCCAGACCACAACTAAGAAGAAGCACATGAAGAAATCCCCAGCGTCTGTCCAAAACCTCAAAGTATGAGAGAGAGTGAGTGTACATCCTTGTCCCGGGGCTGGGACAAAATGACTGTACAAGCCATCTTCTCTCACGCTACATACTGCTGCGACCACAAGAAGAACAGCAGAGTAATGCGTTTTATTATTTCCACCAAGCCGAACTACACTAGTCTGGATGCAGAGTCCTGGCTTAAGCCTCTTTTATGCACAGTTGCCGGTAAATTACTGGCACTGCTAGTGACGTTTCACACACACGCCATGGCAATGCAGGAACAGACGGGGAAAGGGACAGTCCAGCTGATGGCAGTAACGCAACAATTATGGACGCCAACCATTATATCACCCAAAAGAAGAAGAAGAAGACGGGGCAAGTAGGAAGACATCTTTTATTATTTTAAGGAACATTGTGGGCGAGGAGCAGTTGTTGTGCGGAGCTTATGCTCCTGTAATTCATCAAAGGTTTGAGAGACGAGACTAATCCCCCATGAAAGCACCGACGTAACAGCTCCACAGCGTCTTTCATCAGACGGACTTAACACTTTACCTGCAATGTTTCCACTTTCACTCACAACACAGCCGCGCTCGCATCGTCCCTGAAATGTAACTCCTACACTCTAAACCGCCTCAGATTGTCTTGAAAAACTTAAACTAATGTCAACAGCAACCACGCCTGCAGCTTCTGTGAGACTAAACATCACTTCTGGTTGGTGAGGGCAAAACGCAGCTTTAAATGTACGACGGAACTAGTAAATCAAGACGATCTAGAGAGGTTTGTGTGCTTTTCTCTGTTTTATATATAATTGTAAATTAAATATCTTTCTGTTTTGTGCTGTTGGTCAAATTAAACAAGCAATTTGAAGTCGTCACCGTGGATTCTGGGACGAACAGAACAGAAGAATGTGGTCGTTGGCTGCGGCCGTAGTGGGAAACAGACAGGTGTGCGAGTGCTGCTGTTGTTTGATCTCACCTTTGGCGTGGAAGGTCCACTGTGATCTGTGGTACTCGTGCAGCTGAACTCTCTCCTGCTGGCCCAGCCGGCACACCTGGCTGTAAAACTGGCTGGCGATGTGGGTGTAAGCCGCCGGAATCGCTCCGGCGATGCCCTTGGCTCCGAAGAAGCCGTTGACCTCGGGGGAGGCGGTGAGGATGCGGTAGCGGGCCCCGGCCCCGAGCACCAGCCGCATGTACGCCCGCGTCAGGTTGAAGTAACCCGACGTCAGGAACACAGTGGAGTCCGGACCGGCGTCTGTCAGCAGGCGCTGGAGTTTAATGACAAACGGAAAGTGAAGAAAGACGAGTTCCTATTTCCTGTAACTGTGAAAAAATAAAACCTGTTTAGAAGCTATTAAAGTGCTGGTTAGGAGTGTTTTATTACTGCGGTTTACATAAGGCTCATTAACGAGTCTTCTACATGCACTACTAGAAATAAACCTGTAGAAGAGTCACATCACCACTCGTTAAACAAAAGCGACAAGAGATGAACAATGCTTTGACATAAATCCAACTTGTTGCAACAAGTCCTCCCTTTGTGAAACTTGTTACATGAAACATTGTTGATTCATGTAACCACAGAATGAGCTGTTGCATTGAATCATCACTTTATTGTGTTCATTCCCAGAATATGTGACTAATAAACCCAGAATAAATGTTAAAATATGTATTCATGGTTTATCACTAACATGGTTATCTATTAGTCATGTATTATTGTATTAATCCCAAGGTCAAACATCCCATAATAACAATAAAGAACCTCCGTCTAATTACATTTATGACTCGTGACTAAGGTCAATGAGCAAAAGGTCGACTTCCAAGCACTGAAGACACTAACAAATAAAAACATGAATCATTTAACAGCAGGGCCAAAGTGTTTATATTAGTTTTCAACATCTTTTTTTGTGTATATGTTGGGGTTGAAATGTCACGATGTCAGGTGTGGAGCCTCACCTGTGTGACCTGCTCGTCCACCTGGATCCCCAGAGGCTTCATCTGGACCAGAGGGAACACCCAGGTGTCCCCCTCCTCCCCCTCCGACCCGTTGAGCAGCTGCTGCCTCACGTGGGCCGTGTTCACCACCTCCATGATCCGTTTCCTCGCCGCCGCCGAGAAGTCCTGCCTGTTGCCTGGTTGACGCGGAGACACAAAAACATGAGCGCGCACAAGCGGGAGGCGGGTCAGACTGATCTCTGGGTCACAGTGATCGGGGGCCGCGAGTGCGTTTGAGAGAATTTACGGCCATTTACGAGCATGAAGCAGAGAGGAGGATGTTGATGGGGAGGAAAGTACGACCTCGGCTAAAGAGCCGTTACTCTGGAACATGCTCGTCTCCGATTGGCCGGCAAATTGCCATGAAAATTGCATATCAGTTTAAAAAAAAATTCCCACTCCATGTCGTCTTCCAGCAACACTGTGACATCACAACTCTATTCCTGGTGTTCGTTACCACGGTGGTCCAGTCCTACAGACATGTCATTCATCATCCCACAAACTAACATCCTGGCAGTCTGCGCTCCTGTTACGGACACACAGCACCAGTGTGTGTGTGTGTGTGTAGAGAAAATCCTGACATTTTCACATCCGGCTGCATGACTAGCCAACCGCAAGAGCTCTCATCATCTTTCTCACACACACACACAGACCATCATCTAGTCGCCTGTCTAAGCTTTCAAGCTCCATTAGTGAAATCCATCGGCTCCTCCTGCAGAAAAACTGGGCCGCTGCCACCATAACCGAGCATGAAGTGTCAAACTGTGTCAAAACACGTTGGAGGGTAAACATGCATCCGTGTACACACACACGCACACATGTTTGGTGTCTACCATTGTACGGGTGCACCATGCCCTCCAGCATGGTGACCGAGTCGTCAGGCTGCAGCTGCAAGGAAACGTCTCCCATGGCTTCCACCAGGTCGGAGAAGAAGTCGGCGACCTCGCTGCAGTTGTCCAGCAGCACGTAGCGGTCCTGTCTGTTGGTGAAGTACGAGTCGCTCAGGTTGGCCCTGAACAATGACAGAGAGAGAGAGAGTGAGACCGTGTTCTTGCCACTGAGGAATTTCGTGACGACAAAGCATCTCCCAATGTCTTCAATGCAAAAACAATATGCACAGGCTGAATCATCCGAGAATTTAACGCCGACACAGACGAAGAGGAGCCACGAAACACGAACTGCGAATCATCAGAGTGTGTGACTCATAGACGAGCTGATCTTAAGTGGGATTTACGCTCTGCTTTAATTTGTTGGAAAGTTTCACTCTTACAAGAGAAAAGGTTCCTGGATGAGGACACTCTGTATCTCAGGGAAACATTCCCAACAGGACGAAAAAGTGTGAAAGTAAAGTATTTTTACAAAAACAGATTGGAAAAGATTTGGTCAAATCTTTTACTGTTCTACTCTCTATTATCAGAGACACAAAGTATTCTGTTTACTTTCCCCACGGTTCCGGTGAGTGCGAGCAGCGGGGGGCCAGAAACTCGAACAAACAAACTCATACTGACACAAGCGCGGACATCCGGGAACCGACGTACCCGCTGATGATGAAGCTGTCGTCGAACAGGTAGACTTTGATGTGCTGGACTCCGATGGTCTCGTTGAAGCGCTGGGGGACCAGCAGCCGCAGCAGCCCCCTCAGGTCCGGAGTGTGGTACAGAGACACCCTCATCTGAGAGACGAAACGCTGCAACAGCGGCAGCAGCATGGTCCTCGAGTTGGTCTGTCCTGCACGTAAAACACGGCCGAACATCAGGACGATGAGACAACAAGAGATCTCAAAATGGAAAATGGAAACGACCTCGTGAGCCGCGAGTGTAGTCCAGCAGTATGGAGACTTTCAGATCGGGAGCGTCGCCGTTCTCCTGCGAGCGTCGTAGAGCTTCTTCCATGCAGTCCACCTTAAAGACAAAGACAGCAGAGGACAAAACATCAACACATGCAGCAGAACCAGAGACCTCGAGCGAGTGATGGGCCATCAGTTAATCGTTATCGTGCAAAAATTCCAAATATTTATCATCTGCAGCTTCTTAAACGTGAGGATTTACTGCTTCTCTTTGTTTCATACGATTGTAAATTGAATATCTTTTGAGTTTTGGACGTCGTAACATTTTCCCAATTATCTGTCATTTTGTAAACTCAACGATTCATCAGGAAAATATGATATTATAATAACCACCGGCATTAGACGCAGCCATACCTGTTTCATTTCCTCTGAATTTGGGGAATTGGGCTTCAGCGTCAAGCTGCTCAGCTCGTTTCACTGCAGCAGAAAACTTCTCTCAAGGACATTTTACTTGTAACACAGTAACAAACACTGTTTCCTGTTTTCATATAGTCAGGTTTTCACTTCTCAATCCAAGTCATTGTTCTGCAAATCACAAACTGAGGTTTGTATCCTTTCTGTTGTCAGCAGGTGCCATTTGTAGTTACTCCTGTGCTTTGACAGTCTTGGAGTTGGGTGTTTTTTTAACTTAAGATAAGATGCACTGGACTGATATAAGAGCTGGCTTCAGTCTGTAAACCACTCTGTCCTCAGCGTCCCTCTGTCGTTCACACTTTGTCCTCCTGCACGTTTACTTGTGAATCGAAGAGAAAGCTGAAGGACACAGGAGCGCATTATTAAATATTGCAAATTGGCAGCACACAGCATTTATCAAACACCGGCAGCGTGTTATCTGTTAACCGAGCGTGGGAAAAGCATGACTAACTCCTCTGTGCACGAAGAGAAAACGGCTGCTCTTCAGAGGGCACCACTGGTAGCGAGCAGAGTCTTGTTGTTCTTTACTTCAGCTTAATTGTGCATCTGGTGCCCAAACGCATTCCTTACACGTCGCTCCAGAGTGCCTGTTTGCATGCCGGTAAAACGTCTCTTCTTTCCAGTAGAGAGCTCTTTGGGGGACGTGTGCACCACCGACACTTCCAGCTCGGCTCTGGAGAGAAATGTGTTTACGAGTTGGAGCTGTAAGGAGCAGCATTTAAGTTACTATGCAATGTCCAATCTGCTCAAACTCTCACCACATACAATTCCAGAGGGAAAATGTTTGTTTCACATTTAAACAAACTTGAGCGTAAACATTTTAGTTATCAGCCAACAGCAATGTGATTCACTGCAGACAGGAAACATTGACCCGGAGGACAGATAGAGGAAAGGTGGACATTTAATTATTATTTAAATGGAGTTTGATGGGACTGCATCACGTTTCATCTGTAAAGGAAAAAGCCAACGTTCTCCGGGAATACGATCTCAAGCAGCAGAGTGAAAATATATAGTTATATACATGATTGTTTAACTACCGAGTACTCAAACAGCCCTCTAGGAGAGAACTAAATGGTCAGTGGCTCCTCTGAAACTTGAGTTTGACACCCCAGATTTAAACCATCAACCACCTTTCCACATTGAGACACATCCTTTGTAGGATTTATTTTATAATGGCGAAGTTTTGTTTTAAATATATTTCTATTCTCTACAATAGAAACTCCTCAGACTCCACAAGGAGGCTTTACAACAACCTGTCTCTCACATAAGCAGTAGCAGTGCTCTCCACTTTGCATACGGAGTGCTGAACATGCTTTTCTTTGGAACTGTAGATTATTCTCGCTGCCTGCACCTGCGCTTAAGTCAACACGCCGCACAGGTGCGAGAGTCGGCATCGGTCGAAAAGCTTTTGTGCCGAGCCCAGGATGGAGATTCTTCGGTTTTTAACCGCAGACCACGCTCGTATTTTGAGTTCAGGTCATTGTGTCCTATTACAAGCAAACCTGAGCTCGCCAAATAACACGGACTCACTGTTCCTTGACTCAACGTTTCTAGTAATCCATCATCCTGTGAGGTGACAGAGTTGATTCAGATGCTTTTAACTGTAATTTAACATGTCTGACTTGTCTGTGTTCTGTGATTCACCCTCTCCGCTGCTCGAAACCAGTTAAAAAAACAACAACAAATGAAAAACAGCTGAATGCGAGTCCAGACTGTGGTTTGTTCTGGTTTAATGTTGTTATGCTAGGCCTTCCAAGCATGAAAAACAGCAGGATATCACATGCCGACACTGGTCTCCTTATACCATAAACCCGTGCATTTTGGGGTCATTCCTTGTAGCAGAAAGCTGCGGTTCTCCTGGAAGCGACTCTGACTCACATTTTCTGGCATCTCCAACCACTTATTTGGCACACGCTTGTGTTTGGATGCCAGTGTTCTCACCTGCCCCAAAACTAAAAGACATTAAAACAAAAACAAAAAACTGCTCTGACACACAAAAAAAACAACAAAAACAGCACTTTTCTCACCAGCTCCTGCTCCAGCTGACCCGTTCCTAGATACAACGAGGCCATCACCACTCGCCTCTTCGCTGTTTTGATCCGCGCCTGAAGGGAAAAACAAAGAGACAAACAAACACAACGATGGATCCGTGTGTGTGTGTGTGTGTGTGTGTGTGTGTGTGTGTGTGTGTGTGGGTGTGCGTGTGTGTCAGGAATCTGGTCACAAATACCCGACACCAAGAAATAATAATAATAATAGGTACATTTACTGTTGGTCACATGTGAACGCTGTCGAACCAGATTTCACCAGAGTCATCAATCAGCAAATAAAAATAATAAATGACATATTTTTGGCAGTTCTGCTTCTGTGGTTGTATGCAGGACGGGCAAATGGAAGTCTGAGGTAAGCAGAGGACTGAAGATTCAACAGAACAAAAATAACGTCCCGGTTCCTCTGGATGATGCACTTATTGGGATAACTTCAACAGAAGGTAGTTCTGATTGTTAACGTGCAGGTCTGTGAATTATCAAGAGAAACCAGGACTTTGTTTGTGCAACAAACATTTATTAAGTTGATTATTTTCTTGATTATTTGTTTCTTCTATAAAATGATAGAATGTAGGGAAAGAAACACGTCGCCATATTTAAAAGCCCAAAGCAATGTCTCTAGATTTCTTGTTTTTTTTTCCCACCAAAAGTCACCAAAACTAAAACACATTCAGCTTTCACGGATATAAGAACAAGAAAATAGCAGCAAACTCTCATAATTAAAGAGCTGGAACGCTGTAATGTTTTGTATTTTCTGTTGAAATTGACTTGAACTCTAAATGAACCATCAAACCCTTTGCTGATTAATTTCCCACAAATCAGATTTAGTTTCTAAAAAGACGCCCCATTGATCACCACAAATGAAATTCCAGTCCCCTCCATTGTACTGAAGTTAAGGAAGAAATCTCAGCTTGATAACACAAAAGGGTTCGTGAAAAGGTATCATCTTTTGTAATTTGGGTGAACTGGACCTTTAAGGGATTAAATTGTCATGTTTTCCATTAATGTGTTCTTTTTACCTGATGGCTCTGCAAACAAAAGTGTCATGACATACTGTAACAACAAACAGAAGGAAATATGTGTGTGTGAGCGTGTGTGTGTGTGTGTGTGAGCGTGTGTGTGTGAGAGAGAGAAAGAAAGAAAGTGACAGAAAAATGCCGTCAAGCTGCTGTGTGGAGGGATTCACTACCAACAGAGTAAAGAACTAAAAACTGAAGCCAAGATCCTGACTCTCAGCATCTCGAACGTTACGCAACAAGCAGTTTGTCCAAATGTCAGTTTTAGATCCCGTCTACACAGATATTTTTTAAACGGATATTTCGCCTTTTTGTTCACTAAAACAGATATTTTTAAAAACGTCTCCTGAAATGTAGATTTTCAGAAACTGGGCTTAACTTTTATCTGGGGCGTTTGGGAAAACGATGACGTCATTTTCCCAATTCGCCCCTTTCCCCACGTTCTCAGGAGTCTTCCTTGGCAGGGTACTTTTCCTAAAAAGGCCGCCGAGATGTCTGAATATCTTCCATAAGAAGACTCCCAATCGATTTTCTTGGGCTTTCATCGCCTTATAACGTGACGCTAAGTAGCAAATCCACTTCCTCTTCACCACAGCATCAAATATCAACTTTGTAAAAATAAATAAATAACTTGCTGTTCCTTCACTGTCGTTTACTGTTTGTTAAAACTGCCAAAGGACGTTCAGCTCATGGAGCATGCTCTGAATCTTCTTCTCTGGTATTTGACGCATCGTCGACTGTTTGGAGCCGTTTTTGCGTTCTCGTGTGGACGGAGGTATTTTATAATAGCTAGCTAACGTTAGCTAGTCAACAGTTGCTAAAATAATTATTGTCATGCTTTTTTTTTTTCTGCCCATTGTTTCATATTGTGGGCGTGGTTTTCAGAGAACGATGACTTTATGTTTTCGAGAATCCCAACCGTAAACACATCGTGACTCACAGGAGCACTAAAGGTGCAACATGTTGTATTTTAACCTACCCCTCCCTCCCTCCCTCCCTCCCCCCCTCCCCCCCTCTCCCTCTCAAAAAAGATCACAACAATTGGGTGAGACATTCTTCCATAATTAGCATCAAGAGCACATTTCTTGTATGCAATACAACAGGTAAACAATGTCCGTGTGTGAGGGTAGATTCCCGTTTCTTTGTTCCCGGAGCGGCTGAATAGGATAAAGGCTAAAGTTAAAAGGAAACATAAAAGGATTCCAATGTGGTGACACACAGCAGGTGTGGGACCACGTAAGGAAATAAAAAATAACGATGTTTGTAACTCCGGAGGGTTTTAATTCTAAATGTACATTTGCTTCTCTCTCTTCATAAATTAGGTGAAATGTGCACGCTGGCACACTTTTATGAATGTTTTAACTGGTAAAAAACTGGCTTCTCTACCAACTCAAAGAAATGCTTCCTCGAACACCTCAGGCACTTTCTCAGGCCTCGTGCGTTGCTTCACGATACATGACGACACGGAACATATCTTCAAAATCAATATCTGCAGGTGTCGGCCGTCATTTTCTGAGTTCTAATCATTCCTTTACAGCAAAACGTTTATTTACGCAGCGACACCGACCTTCATAGTCTGGTAGAACTGGTCGGGTGAGGTGAGGATGTGGATGTGGGTGCCCGGCACGCGGAAGGCGGGTACGTGCTCTGCCATCCATTGGAAGTGTCCGCAGAGGCCGTCTGTGCCCTGAGCTCCGGCTGACCCGGCGGGCCTGGAGACATGTCGGGGGGCCGGGTCGTCTTCAGCCAGCAGGGGGGCCAGCAGCAGCACCGAGGACCTGCAGGAAACAAACGTTTGTCACACAACCTTCCTCCACAGACGGCACTTCCTGGGATGTTGTTGTGTCGTTTACAAGGTTATATATGAACTTTGATTGCTTTCCACGTACCATTTCATGATGGATGTACTGTAATCATTAAGAGTATCAAAATGCTGGTTTTGAGTTCAGCCATAGGTAGTATCTGTCAAGTTTATGCCCTTTTAAATTCTGAATGGAAATCCAGCTGAAAGTGTGGGTTGATTGAAAAACGTCCAAAATAAAACACAGAGAAACAGCAGACCTCGTCAGTGGAAAATGAGACGTTTGCGTGAGGAGACGATGTCCGACGAAACAGGTCAGTTGTGTCATTTATCACAAGAAAACAATAGTTTTCTGGGTATCGTCTTCTTTTTTGTGCTGATTGAACAGTGTGTCTGGATTTCCTTCTTCAGTGTCCCATAATTCACCCCAACACCACATCCCCTTTGTCTCCGCCTTACAATCTCACCATCTGGTCTGACAAT